CCAAATCCCGTTGCCCTATCGAACTAACCGCGTCCAATGTTGTACATGCCGATCACTGTCTTAATAGTGAATTCTAATTTCCCCGCAACCAACCGAGCGCGCCGAACTCAAAGCACGATGCCTTGAAGCGTGTAATGATTCGGTGCAAAATGACTTACGGCGAGCAAGTTCTAACCAACGGATGCACCTCAGCTGCGTCTGCACATAACTTTGGGGTGCATTTTTCCCTATTAAGCTGGTACCACATGCTGTTGCCTGGTGTTGGCTGACTGCAGAGCGACAGCGTTGTCGTCATGCCACACTGCGCTTAAGAAGTTAAAAGCGCGATTACAACAACAGCAACGCTTATATAAATACATGCAGAAGAGTGGGTAAGCGTTCATTCGAGTTTGCGTGCAATTTTATTTCGCTTTGGTGCGGCACTTCACACACCCTCAACACACTCACACGCATACAAACAGATGCGCGCTCGGTAGACTGACTCAGGCTAAATTGCAATAGTTCTTAGCGTGTAACTTAATGCCGGGCGATAGTTAGCGAGCAGTTGTGAACTGTTGGCATGTGCCACATTGTGTGCAACATTAATGATAGGTATGTACAAAGCTACATATTTACATATACAATATATGTATGTGTTATAAGAAAATTGTCGATAAGTAGCAAACTACTTAAAAAGTCAATTTCATTGAAACGCTTCAAGAAGTAAGCTAACAATTTGAAAATGCTGTCGATAACAACAATAACAACAAAAGCAGCAGAACTTTGCAAAACAAAAGCCAATATTTCACCATCGCAAATGATAGTTTGTATGTGCATGAACTAGTGCAGAATGGCTTGTCGAGTTGTGACAACAACGCTGCATGGCTAAAAATTGATGGAAGATGGCAATATTGTAACCTACTTTGTGAGTTGATTTGACGGAAAAAATGCGAAAAAGCGTTGCTGTTCACGCAGCGAAGCGCACGAGCGCAGATCACGCGTCTAAAGTCGGGCATCAAATGGTGGATTTGCAGCAGCCGTCATACTTCGTCAATCACTGCCTGGCGGCATACGCCAAAGGAATGGGTGAAAGGGTGGTATTTTTTTTTTGTTATTAAAATCGTAGCATTGCATTTGTGTAGGACACAGATGCGTCTGTGTTCAATGGGCTCGAAACGATATGAAATTATTTGTTGGGTTGGCGTCGGTAGCCTGTTACGTGAACACCTATCTACAATATTTTAAGAAGAAGGGCAACCTCAGAATACGCCGAGTTGTTATCCTAAGATGAGTGTCGACTTTTACCTTTCGGCGTTCACGCCTAAATCCTATGGACTCACAGAAAATAATATAGAGTAATAAAATTTGTTTAAACCATTTCAACTAGGCGGGGTATACTTTTTTTCGCTGTATTTTCCCAATTCATGGGCAATAACTGCCGATTTACTACATCGGCTTTCATTTGACTGTTGATTCGGTTCTTGGATCAAAGTGTAAGTCAGATAAAACATGTAAAAAAAGTTATAAAAGCTGTGGCCTACATTTAGGGTGATGTGGCATAAAACTTAAAACTAAAAAAAAGAAGATATTCAATATAAACATTCGACAGGCAAGAACGTCGGATTTGTGCAGAACCGGCAGTTTGCAGAGGAGACCAAGCCCATGTTAAATAAATGCTTGTTAAGCCTGCAATGTCCGGTGTAGAACGCGACCAGAAGTCGAAATTTGTTCCTCGGGAGATTGATTACGGTTTTAAATCGTCTGAGGTTATAACCCCCCATTAGCAACTTGGCATTGCGCATGCCTTGGAGATGTTGCCAGTGTCTCTCCCTGCCTGCTCTTTCCTCTTTACGGAGTGCATACATACATCTGTTTATAACTGTATATTAATACCGAAATTGCAAGAATGATGGCACTGTCACTCGTCTTTTAGCCTTAAGGTCATTTGCTTTCACTCGTCAACGCTTGTAGCCGTCACTATTGCCACCCGCACTTCTGAAGTTTTACTTGGTATTTTAGTGTATATGTTTTAATGTTGTTGTAGTTGTAATAATTGCAATCACTAGACATCAGCGTCGTGCTTATACGCGCTTCGCCGGTGCTTACGCGCAGTTATTCACATTCTCCACTTAATGGACGTTACCGAGGCACAGCAACGGTTTGCCGTTGGCGCCAACGCTCAAGAACTCTGCCACATACATACATAGGCTGACTAGGCCAAATGCATACGTGTGTCTTTGTAAGTGAAGCATATATGAAGCACAAGCTGGTGGTTGGTTGCAGGTGGTTGAACTCATTGCTCAGCTACTTATGCATTGCTCTTCGCTTGTCGCTTTCTGTGCCTTTTTGTCGTGCATTTTGCTCAACGTGGTGGTTGCAGACACACACATACATATATCACATACCTACATACGTATAGAGATGTGTGCAATTGCCGGCGTTCGCTGGCGTCTATAACATTGATTTTCAATAAATGCAGCCACGAATTGAGGTCATTAGGATCAAGTTATAAAATGACATCCCTACATATACGAGTATGCCTACATAGTTTATTGTAGTCGCAAATAAAACTATAACTAATCGTTAGCCTTTAATAAAATAAGAATACGCAATACTTTTTTAATATCCCTACCTTTAATAGGCATATCTGTAATCACTTTCATTAATAGTGAAAGCGAAATTCTATTGGTTAAAACGAGGCAACGACTCATATATTTTACATCAATACGTAAATTGTGTCATTACTTTTTTCTGTTCTGTTCTGATGGTACAAGCTACTTTTGATATTCGTGTGAAGGTATGACACCTATGTGTAGGACAGCAATTTTTTAGTTTCCTTAACATTTTGTGTATTCGTATCTAAGAAAAATTATTGAGTTGGTCGTCTAAGTGTTTTGGACAGTCTACTTTCTCGAGAAAGTAATTTGCTCAAGGAACTAAAGGCCAATACGGACGTTGTCGAAACAAGTGAAATGCTTGTTTGGCTAAAAACGGCCCTATTTGGGGTTTGATCATATAGTTGGTTAGCTTCGAGGCTTATTTGGAATCAGTTGGACACTGAACTTTTCTTTTATTATTTACAACTTTTACTTTTCTTCCCTATCAAATGTATTTAATGTTGTTTAGTCCTCAATAGAGTTCATAGTTATGAAATATCAGCAATCCTATGACTTCGGTTATCCAATATCTGACCTTATCTGACGTTGGTTGCCGATCACCGTATTTAAATGCCGAGTGCTTGACTACCATTGGGCGACTAAATTTCGACCGTAGCAAATTTTAAATAATACAACTTTTTTTTCATAACGGGAGTTCTTCCACTGTAGACAATGCAAATTTCTTTGTGTATTTCTGATATGAAAAAGCTTCAAATTTAATTCATTAAGTGTTCGGAAACGACTTTAATTGCGAAAACATTCGAACAGAACTCTGATTGGTCCATTTCAATACGCGCGCACATCGAATCGATAAAAAAATTCCTTCCTATCTGTGTTCAACCATTTTTTATGCTCGTTTAAAGTTTGATCTTTATATGTCTTGATGTGTGTTTAGCAGCTGTTTGTTTATGACGCGAAAAGGTTGTCGGCCGATTTTTACCATAGAAAAAAAATTTAACAAGTAGTTTGCTTGAAACTTTGTCTTTCCAATGGAATCACAGCTACGAAATCGGTGAAAATGTTGTTGTTGAAGCGTTTTGGGGAGTTTACTGTATTTGAGTGAGTAGCACATGTATTTGAGTGAAACAAAGCATTCAGTGAACGTCGTTAAGTCAACGAGTTGTCTTATGCGAGTCGTCCATCAACCACTGTTAATGACGACAACATCAAAAAAGTTATAGAAGCAGTGCTTGAATCTCGTCGTGTTGGCAGATAGCAGAGGGTCGCAACAACTCTTATTGATCGACTCAATCCAATTTGGTTAATACTTTGTGTATGTTAGACTCGTACCAAAAGACCTGAATCTTTTACAAAAACGACGACGAGTAAAGATCACAAAAGATATGCTTGACAACGTAGCTGAGCACCCTACATTCATCCAACACAGCATTGCTGGTGACGGGACGTGGGTTTGTGAATATAACGTCGAAAATGTCCAATAATCTAACGAATGGCGCTTCAAAAATGAGCCGAAACCGAAAACCCTACGTCAAATTTGGTCAACAATAAGGGTGATGTTCATAGTTTTCTCTGATTGCTATGGTGGGGTTCACCATGAATTCATTCCACAATATCGAACGGTCAATAGGGAATACTACTTGGTCGTTTTAAGCTCTCTACGTGCAGCAATTTGTCGTAGACGACCATATTTCAGGCGTTATAGCATAATTTTTACTAATTTTTCGGCCAAACACGAAACAAGAGTCATCGCGCAGACACCGTATTCGCCAAATTTGGCTGCCTGCGTCTTTTTTTTTTTCTTTTTCGATACTAAAAAATTTGTTACACGGGGGGGAACACGCCATGCGTCCAATGAAGCAAATTAAAGTCATTCGCTGAAGGCCATCCCTGCCGAGTCCAATAACAAGCGTTGGCATGCTTGTATTGGCTCTAAAATATACTATTTTGAAGGCGATAGTAAAAATTTGTATTAAAATACGTGAAAATGTTGTTGGTTTTTTTTTGGTCAGCCATGGCCAAATTTGATTAGCTGTTATATACATATATATGTATACATAAATGTATCTGGTTTAAGTATTTTTAACATATTATTTGCCCTCTTAATGAATAATTATATTTATACTTATAAAGATGTCTTCCACTTCCTTAATTCCCTTTTCATGTTGTTGACAAATGCGAGTAATTTCACTTTCTGCACAACAGTTGTTTCAATTTATTTTCGCCACCGCCCACTGATGCCACTCATGGACTCTGTCGTCACTTAAAAGGCGTCTCTCGTCACTTATAAAGTGCGCGTATTTGCCCGCTCTCTTTCGCCACATCACTGAAATTTACACATTTTTATTGAATTACATTGGTCGTTACGTTTATTATTGTTAATAATTTATGTGCGTTTGAACACATACAAAAAAGCTTACTTAAATTTTTAATTTGTCTTATTTTAATATCTTTATATAGCAATACTGGTGCATTCACTTTTTCTCGAGGGAGTCGTTGCGCAATGACTATAATTTGTTCGTTTTTCTTTTTTTTGTTCTTGAAAGATTTTTTCGCCATAAACACATAAACAACACATGTGTTGGCTGGTTACTGCGCTCGAAAACAAATTCAATCCAACCACTTCAATTAAAGACCTCCACAAATACAACACATATACATACATATATACACGAACACTTGTAAACGCGGCATTTAACCTGAAGTCAGTTGGTGTTGGTGTTTTTTTTCGTTTTGTTAGGGTAGCTAGGGTGTTGTTAACTCATTGTCATTCCACCGTGTGAACCGCACAGGAAAGCAGCCAACGTGTAAGCGAGTGACAAATCTTGCTTTTGCTGATCTCTGTGTCTGCTGCTATTGTTGTTGTTGCGTTGTGCATGGCGGGCATTTTTTGTGCGCGTGTTGTGAAGGGTCAGTGATGAATTTCAATCAGTGCACCCTGGTCGACCTTGAGCCAAGCATTGCCTAAATTTTTTTTTTATAATGCAACAATAAGAATAACAACAGCTCACACAATAAATATACGCCATGCTGGTTGCGTTTTTGGTGACATTCACTATATTACATACTGAAATGTATAACATGAATATTGGAAGCCATCAAGCGGACATCTCTAGTTGCTGTACTCTCATTTAGTTAGATCTATTCAACTATGCCTCCAATTTGTATCTGTATCCATCACCAGTATATGTGCATATACGCAAGGGAAGTTAGTTGTGTGGGTGACTCACACCCTTTGCTGTGGTCTTGCGGCTGACAAATATAAAATTAACAAAAAACATATTTATAAATCATTCATATGATTGTGGCGTTAATTGACCTCAATAATATTTGTAATAGGAATCGTGTGTAATACATTTCAAGGAAAAAGTACTTTAACCGTTTCCGCATCACTTTCATTTGTTTCTAGTAGTACTCGAATTTCTATTAAAAGTCAACAATATATTTTTGGAAATTGTCTGAAATAAAAATAGTGCGATATGTGTATGGCAAATAATTAAGCATCTAAATTTAAACAAACTTATTGCTACTATGCCAAAAATTAGTAAACTTGGGTAAAATTTAATTACTACGTTTTCATACCACCGTAACGGTAATTTAAAAACTATTTGAAACTCGAACTTTGAACAGTAGCGAATCGAACAAGCAACTAGCATTAATCGAACAGATGTATAATAGCAGTAGCTTAAATCACTCTAGTTAGATAAGCCCATACTACTGTATTGAATTCAGCTGGAGTAGAGTTCAAACATTGCGAACAGAAAAGTAAGGAACCGAAAACTTTCACAGCCTTGTAAATGTGAAATCATCTATGGCTTGTATGCATTCGCTTCCACTGCAAATTTCGGGCTAAATACATAAACATAAACATAACCCCAGCTACTTATATACATACGTACTTATGTACATCCGCTGACCAATGCAATTTTCAATTATAATTCTCATAATGTATATTTTTCTTTTTCCTTCTCTGTACGCGACGGCATTTCTTGCTTTTATTTTATTTTTGTTTATTTTCTTTGCCATTTAGTTGTAATTAAAATAAAATCACAAAAACCAATTTCCTACGCGCAAACGCCAAATGCATTCACGCTTGTCCTTATCCGCAAATTGGCTGGTGGCTGGCTGTTCGCCCGGTCGGTGTTAATATTGGTTCCGCTTCGTTGCCAACGGTAGTTTAGTTGTATTCAGTGAGTCCATGTCACGCACATTCATGTTATAAGAGAGCTTTGTCGCCACAGCTGTTTTTTGACACAGCGGTGAGCCGCATGTGCCGCAGCACAGTTATAATCAGGTGGAAAAATTAACAAAAACATAGAAATAGGTGCAGCAGTCTAGCACGCATTTGTTCTCATCTCACACCCCTTTCTTTGCGCGATTACTTAGTCAAGCGTTGTTTTAATTTGTTTCAAACTATATCGCGTTAATTCCCACTGCGCCGGGTTGGGCTTTGCGGTCTTGGAAGTGGAAGTGTTGATAGTGCACACACTTGCGAGTATGTGAATGTGTATGAATGTAGGTACATGTGTGTGTGTGTGTGTGTAGGAGTTGATGCAGCGCTGCTTGCTATTGCCAAATGAATGTGTGGGTTCGGTTTGAATTCGTCGTATCAAGCGGTGTCGGCGTGGTTTCATTTCGTTACAATTTTCATCAGCTGCTTTTTCGCGCTGTGTCGCCATGGGATATGTATAGTAGTTGAGCACATTAAGGACTGAGTACTCAATTCCAACTTGTCATCGCAGTGGTTAAATGTAGCAAAATAAAAAATAAAAAATAGCGATAGAATGCCTCCCAAATATACATGCATACATATTTGCACACTAGTTTTGATAAGTCATTACGGATATGAAATTTTATGCGCTCATAGTTTGCTCTCCCACTCTTTGCTGTAACAGTGCTCGGTAGGGTTGCCACAAAATTTTCATATGAATGCAATTACGCATTTAGTGTATAACTACGGTATACTTTAACAGTTCAAAAATCGATAACATCAATTTGCATATATAAGCAATTAGCGCGCCTTATTTTATCAAATGAAGTCATACACCACAGCACCTGCCTTAATTATAATTATTTTGTATGTTTTTTTTGTATTTAATTATTATTTGTCATATTCACAGTTCATAAAATGTTTTAACAAATTATTTTGGTGTAGTTTGGAAAATAATGCTATAACAATCTTTCTAACACTTTGCCTAATGGCAACTCTGCTGCTAACCTTATTTATACTACACCAACGCAACACCCACTAATAACACTAACCTATTTCTGTCGTGCAGTTTTGCGCTGCAACCTTCATTCTTTTAATCACTCTCGGCACCATTGCAGCTGCATATCTATGTATGTACATATGTATTTGTGTGAAAATCTGTATTTTATGCGCTCTCTTCTTTCCTGCTGCTGCTCTTTATTATAGGGATACAGTTTGATTTATGTTCATATCATTTCTAGTTCCGCCTCAGTACACACTCAATAAACATATCCGTCGCCGCAGATATCTTAATATATTTGAGAATAGTGAGATATTAATAAAATTTTAAGCTGTCGAAAATAAATATTTGCACAAACAATTACTCCAAGTATTAAATACCAGCCATCAATACTGGAATGTTTGATATTAATTTCAATTTTCGCTTTGATTAGCTGTTTCACATAGTTTCGTTAATTTGCTGTTCAAACAAAAATTGCGATCTGCTGCCAATAGAGTTATCGCCACACTTGGCTGCTTTTTGCATTTATATATAATATTATACTATATATCTTCATCTTGTACCATTGCGTTAAAGCTAATTGTGCCAGCGTACGGCTTTATTGTCCGCCTCCTCCATACACACTTTCGCATATTTTGGTACAAGTTTCTCCAACACATTTCGCAGCCGATTTGTGTACTCAATAAACTGTGGCGCATAGAAGTTAAGGAAATGCTAAAGTGTGGCGTTCAGACGTTTGTGGATTGCTTTTGTAAATACTTTTAACTTTTCGTGTGACTTTATGTATGTATATTTTAAATGTTTTGCTCTTTCACCATTTAAAATATTTATTAGTTCTAAATTATTTCTGTATTAACAACACATATTTCTCCTGCTTACTGACATTCTCCTAATTAGTGAGTGGACACCACCTCGTAGTTAAAAGCATCAAAATAGCTGGGGCTGTAGCCACCAAGTTGAGAACTGTGAGGCGTTATATTGCACTTTCGGTCTCCTTGTATATATATACATATATTTATATGTTTATTTTTTTGTTTTGCATTTTTGCGCTCAAAATCTCAATCTCGCTTTCTTTAGTTAAAACTGCTGTTGTTGTTATTTACCTTCGGCTGTTCGTTTCTTCGACCGGTCGGCCGTTTGACTAATCGTTAGCTAGGTCGTTGCATCCAAGCCAAGCAGCCAACCAACCGTCAGTCAACATATCCTATATATTTGTTCGTTCATTGCGTTTGCGGGTCGCTCTGACTCGTTCGTGCCCAATGCGACGTGGGTCAACTAATAGTCGCAGTTCCGCGTTCGCCTTTCGATGTAAATGTTTCTAGCATGCAGTTTTCAGTGCACCATTAAAAGTTTGTTAAATAATTAAAAAATTTAATTGCAACGAAAAAAACTTATGCAATAAAGAAGTGAAAAGAAAATTTTGTGGCGATAATAGCTATAATAGAAAAAGTTGGCGGCCAAAAGGTGAGCTGGAGAAATGCATTGTGTGATAGTTTCACGTGTGTTCATTGTCGCCGAAAATGAAACTTTTTGTTTACTTCTTTCTTTTTTTCTGCTTCACTGAAGTGTGATTTCTGCTCGTCGCATAATTAAATAAATAATAAAGGGTATAAACAAAATAAATAAAGTTGTAGTGTGCACATAAAGGCGACTAGATAATATTTGAGTGTGTGAAAAAACATGTTTAAATTAATTATTAAAGTTATACATAAAATATAGGAGAAAAATAATATTTAAATTATTTTGCAAACTGAATGGATTTTTTTTTAAGTGGTGAAAATGTGGTTTTTGAAGTGAAATAGTTTTATTTTAATTATTATTTGTCACAGCAGTGCAATCGCAGTATAACGTTTTTTGTTATAAGTTTTTTTCAGTAAACAATCAACATCCACAGTCAAAAAAGTAGCGCTAACTTATTATAGTACATGAAACCAGCATATGTATGCATGCCAAATTTTTAAATGCGAATCTTTTAAATAAGTATTGGCAAAACGGTATATCGAAAGTGAATTCGAGTATAAAAATTGGTATATACATTCTTATCAAACATTTTATATATATATATATTCATATACATATATTAATTTAGAAAGTATTATATTAATTTGAAAACCAAAAGTATTTTTCTTTTCTAATTTATCTATTTTAATATAAAAATATTAAAAAAAAAAGAAAAAACTTTATCTTCTACAACACCGAAGCTATAATAGTCTTTAACGGTGAAGCTCTTATAACAACTATATGTAGAACTCTTTTATGAAGATTTTTATCTTAATTTTGATCGGTCAGTTTAAATGGTAACTACATGTATATACTATAATAATCTATTTTAAATTTCGTGAAGATTTCTTGTCAAATAAAAAACGTTTCCATATATGAAGTTTGTATGGTAGATGTATCCTACAGTGATCCAGTATCGGCGGTTTCAACAAATGAGCAGCTTTTTGGAAAGAAAAGATGCATAATTTCAGATTAATATTATATATTCAAAATTGAGGGACTAGTTCGCGTATATACAGACAGACGAACATGGCTAAATCGACTCAGCTCGTCAAGCTGATCATTTATACATATACTTTACAGGGTATCCGACGTTTCTTTCTGGCTGTTACAAACTTCGTAACAAACTTATTATACTCTGTTCACACGAAAATATAGGGCTGGACACATGGTAAAAGATCAACTTACATACACATTTTATGTATTCAATTAAACGACAATTAACATAAATATAAATCATGTTGTGTGGAAACTTAATAAAAACTATTTAACAATATAAAGTACAACGTTTTTAGTCGTAACAAGTTTTTTTTATGCTAGCCGAGTTTCTAAGGGACACTTTTTGAGTTAGCAATTTCTTATTTTTTACCTTCAAATCGCACTATTCTATGCTTACTTTATAATAACTGGAGCGTATCTTCATTTATCGTTGTTGTGGTTTTGCAAAGCAGTCTTGTTCGCTTCCATCAAAAGTTGAAAAATTGCAACTTAAAAAGATGCACTTCAATCTCATTTTTCGGCATACACACTCAGCCATACATATGTACATATATGCACTTAAGATTCTTTTATCTGTGCCTATGACCTCAAGTACTATTGTGATATTCTACTTTTAGTTAAAACGTAAAAACAATAAACGCCTGAACAAAAAAGAAGAAGCAGAAAATCAATAGAAACTGATGCTTACAAGTATTTTCAATTTCTGCGTCCAGTCAAAGCGTTAGCAACAACTCATCCTTCTCAGGCGTATTATTTCGGCACGCAATGAATATATTTTTATTATTGTTTTTATTTTCTACAATTACTTGTATTTTATCTTTTGTGTGTATCAATTTTCAATTGTGTTTTTCACTAAATTGTGTCAAAAGTAATTTTCAAGGATTGTCGCATCGCTGCGATGTTGCCGTGCTGTTGACGTGTCGCATCGTCTGATTAGGGTAGTTCCAGCCCACGCATTTCGTTCCGCCTAGTTATTAGACAACACTTAATTACTCATAGATTGTTGTTTTTTTATTGTTGTTGAATCATTTGAATATGTGGCAAGGAGGCCTTGTTTGTATATCGTTTTAGATAGCGGAGGGTGTGCCGCACAAATAGGCGTTTAGAAAAGTACCCGTGTACCCGTGGTTCTATGTTATAAAAATTATAGCAAATTATTTAAAATGCTAATGCTTTTTACTGTTACGAAAAAGCTTTAATTGTTTAATGTTATTACTAAATAAAAATAATATTTAAATACTATTTAAAAATAATTTTAACTACATCATAATTCATAAAACAAAACTTTTCAAATGTTTCTAGTATTACTATTAAAAATTATCTACAAATTAAACATATTAAATTGGATTTTTTATAGGTCGAAGCTGGTGATATTATTTTAAAAGTAAATGACACTGACGTTCATCGATATACAACGAAAGAAGGTGAGTCAAAAATTTATTTTTCATTTTAGTCAGTGTGGCTTTTCCTATAATTATTATAATATGAACACTAAGTTTGTTACACCCAATAAGAAGAAGAATGTTTTTATATAATTCAAATTTAATTCAAACACTAAAATGATAATGATAAATTTTAAGGTACCGGTAGCGTTTTTATGTGAAAATGAAATACAAATTTTATGGGAATGTAAAAAAAATTATTCAAAATATTGCCATTGCTTTTTACACATTTTGACCACCTTTCTGGCAATTTGTGGTTATCATGCCAATAGATATGTTCCTCTTTTGAAGCAAACCAATGAGACATCCTATTTTCGACTTCTGCGTAGGAATCGAAGTGCTGCTCAGCCAATGCGTGTCCCATCGATGAAAACAAATGTTAATCGGAAGGCCCAAGTCTGGTCTTTGATTGTATCCTGAACCGATATTGCAGTTTGCAATTTGTGTGCAGTTGCAATGTCGTGTAACAAAATTACTTTGCCGTAATCTGGACCATTTGGTCGTTTTTCGATAATTGCATGGTTCAAATTGATCATTCGTTGTCTGTAGCGATTAGTATTAACAGTTTCGCCAGGTTTTAGAAGCTCATAATATAACACACTCTTCTGATCCCACCAAACACAGAGCATTGCCTTATTACCGAATCAATCTGTTTTTGCAGTCGATTTTGTTGGCTGTCCCGGGTTAACCCATGATTTTCACCGTTTAGGATCCTTAAAAAAAAAAAACAATTTTTCGTCGTCAGTGACAATTCGATACAAAACTGCTTCTGATAGAGCATGATCACCATATGCCTTGACAAGCATTCGATGCGTCTTTGCAGCACTTTTCATCAAATGGAAACCAAAAATTAATGCTTTCCGCAAATCATCACTTTCCGGGGGGAAAAAATTGACACTTTCAACATTATGAAAAAATATTATGTTGTTTGTTCAATGACTGTAAGGTTATTGAATATGTTTGACAGTTGTCATGCCAACCAAACAGAAAAAAAATTAAGGTTCGTTCACAACAAATGTTCCCTACCAACGCATTTGTATCTTAACGCTCACTTCATACCGATACACCTGGTAATAGAAATTTTCCAATATTTGTCGTTTGAGTGCCTGGTCACAGATCACAGGTGTCTTGGTATTATTAGTATACAGGCGTTTTTAGGTACCACAACAGACCCCTCTTAGGATAGACCTCTTAACATAACCTCCCCATATTTGTCAGACCTTTTATTTTACTTATCAAAATAATCTTATATATTTTCCAATAGTTCTCAAGTGCTTACGACTATCCGATGACTCGGTTACGTTAGAGCTGCGTCGTGGTAAGTATTCATTCGTCAATTTTTCTCGGCTGAAATCCCAAATTCCATACATACAATTCAAATATCTTAGATCCCAAACTAAAAGCGCGTCTCAAAGAGCAACTAGCCAATACGAAAAATCCCCATTACGAAGACATCGAACCATCTCCGCATATTTACGATTACAAAGCATCGAGCTGTCGATCTCCCACAACTCACCACCGCTCGTTGTCACTGCAAGACTCTTACGATCCGCCACACAACAGCAATTCCAATTCATCGTCTTCGCCTGCGATACGCTACGCCAAATCGCCCACTCACTTGCCACACCGTCAGGGTTCGCTGCCGACGCCTGCGCTGAGCAGCCAACAACAACAGGGCAATCACAGTCGCAGCTCTTCCGCTTCATCAGCACAGCTACAATTTGGTGATATAAATACTAGTGCGGCGAGTGGCGGTGCGGCCGGCGCCACCTGTACATCGCCTACATCTCGTCCATCACGTATTCCAACGGCACTGAAAGCGCCACAAAAGCCACCCGTACAACATTCGCCACAGCATAAGCGACCGCGACCATCACAAATTCCAACAAAGGCTGGCCCAGCAGCCACCAACGGTAACGCGTCAGTAATTGCGCCGACAGCGCCAGTCACCGGTGGTTGTGTAAGTGGTGGTGGTGCGCATTTACAGCATTCAAATAGTTATAGCGGCGGTAGCACACGTTTCACTCAGCAGCAGCAGCAGCAACAGGCGACGCTGCAGCAGAAAGAGCGTGACGCTGAGCCAAACTCGGCGCCGCCGCAGCCAGCGAAGGCGCCACGCTTTGAGGCATACATGATGACTGGTGAACTGATACTGAATCTATCGAGGACATCTCAAAGTAGTAACCTACTGCCAGGACACGCAAAAAAGGTGTGTAGTTTAAATTGAAAATATACGACCTAGTTTTATTAGATTTTTAATTTGAACTCAACCGCCTTTTCTAACAGATCGACAGTTTGCGTGATTCACCACAGCGTGCGGTCGTGGCTGCGCGTGCTAACGGCGCTTTGGCGCCTCGTGCCTCTGGTGAATCTTCGCCCACATCATCATCGTCGGTGGACTCGCCCACTCATACGGCCAGTTCGGAGTCGGCTCACCACCACAAAGATCGTGGCAAGCGAAGACACCAACAACCTCACCACCATTTGCTTCAGCAACAGTTGGATAGTATTAATAACAGCTACAACAACAGCAACAGCGGTGGTGGTGGTGGCGCAGGCGGTGTGGGCGTGGTCAACAGCGATCCACGCAAAGACGATACGCTGTTGTTGTGCGAAGAGTTAGAGCGTGATGACGAAGGAGCAGGCGGTGACAACAATCGCAGACAGCGATATCAGCAACATCAACACCATTCAACACGACGACACCATTACAGTCATTATCAACAGCGCAGCAGTTACGATCATGATGAGGTCGTCGACATGGAGGAAAACGAGGAGGATCAAACGCACTACGACATTACCAATATTGAAACGTACAATAGCGGTGGCCTTGGCGCAGGCGATGCGTGTGGCGATGATGACGCCAGCGATCGTCAGTGTCTGGTAACGAACTATGGCGACGACGAGGACGATGATGTCGAAGGGGAAGATTTCGATGCCGAAGATGAAGACGGCTGTGGCGCCGAGCACGAAGACGAAGACTACTCATCAAATTCGCTGACATCGGCATCCGCAAAGCAGCGTTTGCGCGCACTTAAGCAAAAAGCTGCCGCTGCACATTACAAACATGCACAAAGTGTCGCGCGCGCCAGAGGTGGCGTCGGCGATTCAGTCGATTGTGCGAATCAACATTACGCCGGTGGCTATCACCATCATCATCATCAGCAAAAACGGCAAGCGCAACGCGGTTCAGGTGGCTCGAGTTCTTCATCGGCGACGGTGAAAAGCGACGGCTTAGCTGGCATAAACACCTCACCCGATGAAACTTCATTCTCCGTGCCCACCTCACCGATCTCGCTGTCTACGCCATTAATTGACAAGGATACGGCGAATTCAGTGCCCACCAGTCCAGAACCAACGAGCCTGGGTGCAGTAGGTGGTGGTGTTGTTGTCCACGATGTTGTGGTGCGGCGACACAATGGCGTCGTGCGTACATGTGATTCGGCTGGTTTCCGTACCAGTAAATCTGAGGATCACCTGCAGCAGGTGCAGCGTGAAGGCATGGCTGCAGTGATACCGATCGATATTGATGAGGATGTGAATAGTTCGTTGAATACGCTGCTCGATACGAGGCATGACTCGGAAGATTCGCAGGTAAGTTGTGGTCGTGACATAAATAATAATGAAAAATGTGCTATAAGTGGGAGGATAATATTAATGGCGCGCAGAAAATTGGGCGTTTATAATTATAAGAAGGCGAGACGAATAAAATTAACGCATATTAAACGGAAACTTTTTACTTATACATACGTACATAAATGCATAGTTATATACGAAAGTGTCGAAGCTTATAAAACATGTAATTAAAATTTGCCAAAAATCAGAAAATATATCCAATTAAGAAATTTACCAAAAAATTGCCCATTTAAGCGGGTATTTCCCAACGAAATATATGTACATGAATATAAATAGCTACTAATTAGTTACTAGCAAATTTATGAAAAAAATTTTGTAAATAAGTTATTTATCGATTTAAATTTTACATATATTTAATATAAAAATACGATTTATTTTCTAAGCGTATTTTCCACATGAAGTTTTATTTTTGTTCTTATTTAATAATTTACAATTTATTGTTTATAATAGTGTATAACAAATTTCTCTTATTTGAATGCTTGTTAATAAACCAAAACCGTCTGTTAGCGAAATTATGTCATTATTCTCATTGTTGTGCGTATTGTATAGGTTTGTTCAAATCATGGCTTGCAAAATTATTAACAATTTTTTTTATTATTATTTGATTGGTAGTTTGTTATCACATTCGAGCAACTCTTACAAATTTTGTGCAAAGAAAACCCACTAAAAGTTTTTCATTTGTAGTACAATATTATATTCATTCGGAATTTTCAGTTTTATTATCACTCTGTTTATAAGTAATCGTTGCGTTAAATTTTAAATTTTACATAAAAACTACAATAACAGTAATATTTTAGTATTTAAATTTCTTGCTGTTGAACTGTTAAACTGCTGTTAAAACTCTTGTTCTGATACTTTTAGTACTACTACTAATACTTCTACACTTTGTCTCTGCCACTCTCTAACATTGTTATGTCTTTTTTATTTCTTTTCCTCTTTTCCACTATCTTCTAAACATAATTTATTTTATAATAAAAAATAAAATAAAAATACATACACACATAAAATAAAACCACTTGTGTTTTACAAACTCATCCCGTCTTACCTTGTGTGTTTTATACATTAATTCATACGTTGTGGTGTCGGTATTATGTTTTATTTTGTTGTTGTTTTTCTGCGTATGTATATGTATCTTCTAGCCATCTACTACTACTACTACTACTCTAACTAAACACCAAAATAAAGCAACAATGAAAACAGCAACCAGACGTGTTTCCACATTTTCTCCACTCGCCACATCTCTGTCATCGTCATCTGGCCCTGCTTCGGTTGCTGCCTCTGCTACATCCACATCATCGTCGTCATCGTCGACGGCATTAAAAACAGCTATACTAAATGCGGCAGCAGCAGCATCCTCATCCTCGCCAACACTCTTGCCATCCTCACCAGAGACGACTCTAATCAGTCAACGTGATATATTTAATAGGCGACGGCGTAAAGTGCGTATGACTGTGCCACGAATCGTTTTGGATGCGTCAGCAGCGGCAGCAACGCCAGCAGTGGAAGAAAGTGTCTGCAACAATAATAACAATATCAACAATACTTGTAATAATAATTGTAATAATTTCAATACTAGCACACCAACGACAAATAATATTGCCACTACTAACTCCAATACGATCAGTACTAATATGACAGCTCGTGGTGTTAATGAAGCTACAACACTAACAACTACAACTACTAATACTATAACTACAAAAACTGCATGCAATATGACAATAATAAAAACGGCAATAACAACAATAAACACAAGCAATACAACAGCTGAATATGCTAATAAAAAGGTGGAGCGTATTACATACATACATACAAAAGTAGTTTTAGTACAAAATAGTTAAAGTTCAATTAGTAACTATCAGTTTAGTAGCAGTTGCTTAAAATGTGCTTAGCAAAATCATGCCACAAGTATTCAATTATCGTTGTTCTCCTATCAAATTGCCGCATTTAATAGTTATATGTGTTGATATTTGTTCTTAAGTGCATGTATTTTATTATATGTGTGCATTTAGAGCGTTATATGTATAGTTATAATGTTTATATTATTGCTGAGTTAATAAAATTGTTGTTTTTAGCGAAATTTAGCGATTTTATTTTGCCATTTTTTATGTATTGCATTAATAGTAAATACATTTTTTTGTTGGAAGTAGTTTGTCATTTATGTTTGTGTTAGTATGTCGCATCAAAAAGCGTGTAAAATGGTTGTATACAATTAAAGGATAGGAATGTATTTATTTCTTTGAAGCAAAACTATTATTTAAAAATATGCAATCATATATTCAATTTAAGTATTTCGTACTCAATTAAAAAAAAAATTTAATGTTTTTTTTATAGCCTTGTGCTTCGTAAAGAGTTATTTAAACTATCAGTAAAGACCAAATTTGACAATATTTATTTTTAAGCGCCTTAATTTCAATATATTTATTTTCCGGCCTAATCAAATATAATGCAAAATATAAAAGACACCGTTACTGCAACTTAGTTGTAACATTTTTTCAAAGAACTTCATTTCTTTAGATAATGTTCAAATAGAGTCAGGCCGCCGATAGCCTTTCTTGCTCGTGCCTTTAAACTGTAATATAATTATTTATAATTATCTTCCTGTTAAATACAATAAATAAAAATTACAGTAAAAAAGTTTAAAAGACCCATTATTTCGCCTACGATTTCTCCACAAATTGTTGGGATATAAAATTATTTTAAATGAAGTTACATAGCAGAATAATTTTTTCAGCTTCTCATTTTATTTATTTATTTTTTTTAATCAAGAAATTAAGATTTTAAGTCGATAGACGGCACTGTTGTAAAAAATGTTTCTAAAATGTTGTTATCCCAGAGAGATATAATTAGAAATATCGAAACTTTGGATTTTTATAAATCAATATTGATTTTTATAAATTAATATTGTTCAAAACAGTTATCACAGTAATGCTATAAGTTAGCTCAGTAAAACATTAATTATTTCAAAATTATTTGATTTCTACTAAAAAGGATTTTTTAAAGGCATTTTACTATTAAGACCCTTATCACCCTCACAGTCGTCTGCTAATTATTAAGATTAGAAAAAATATATGAAAATTATCGATATCTGCAAAAATTCAAAAATATATGCCAAAAATATTATTTGTGAGTCGAGTTTTTACTCGAACAAGGGCTGCTAGTAACTGTCTTTGTAAAATGTAAAGAATCTATGAAAAAAATATATACATATGTATGTACAATATATACTAAGAATATACATATACATATGTATATTTATATTTTTTATTTAATTTTGCGAAGTGCTGTAGGGTTAGCATTATTTTGAAAAAATAGAAATTGCCTATATATTTTTCTACATACTTAAAAACCATATTTTTTATTTTTAGTGCATTATATTTAGCTTATTTCGCTTTCATGAAAATAATTATTTTTAATGTATAAAGTATTACAAAATATATTTTAATAATTTCGATTAATCGATAAAATTGAAACAAAGATAAGCCGAAGTAAAATGAGCATATCTCTAGGAAGGCAAATCAATCAAAATATCAGTAAAAACTTCAAATAACTACAAATTAATACAATTAATTTGTGTTTGTAAATATTGTATAAAAGAATAATCGCTAAAAAGAAAAAAAAACAGCAGTTATTGTCGGCCAATTATAGTTACCAGTTTAGTTAGTGCTTAATTTAGAATAGGTAGCAGAGCCCAAGTTGGATTTAATAAAACAATGGTAAAATTATATGCTAATAAATTTCTTAAATTTTCTCTCTCTCTCTCTTTTACTTTGTCCGGCACTTCAATAAACAGGGTTCCAATCGTGATCGCATTGTTTGGACTTATAACGCACCACTGGCGCCACACCAGATACAACAGTTACAGCAGCAGCAACAACTGCAGCAACAGCAACAACAGTATTCGAGCACACACTATGGCGGCGGCGGCCACAATAATTCATCACCGAACTCGCATTCGCAGTCACATTCGCACTCCCACTCGCATTCGCACTCTCACTCGAGTTCAATAAGTTCGTCGCCACAGCATTCGGCTGGTAGTCCCGCGTCACCGACATCTGTATCCAGTTCGGTGATGTCATCGTCCGGTTCGAAGGGCGCGCTTGGCATCGGTGGTGCGTATGCGTTAAATAGCAATAACAATGGTGGTCATCAACAGCAACAGCAGCAGCAACAACAACTACAGTTGACAGCAAATGCCGGTAATGGTGGCACCAGCGGCGGCACCAGCGCAACAACAGCCACAACAGCTTTACAAACGGGTTTGTTACATTGTCCTACTGGTAGTGGTAATGGTAATGGTAGTGGTGGTGGTGACGGTAGTGGTGGTAACGGTGGTGGTGGTGGTAATAATAGTCTTACGGGTGGCGCCGGTTACGATCATAGCGTCTCCGAAGCCATTTCGAATATTTCTAGTCCCGACTATCAGGACGATGATAATTTATTGAGCTCTCGCGATCTTGCAGGCGGCATGGTACTTAGTGATCCCAGCGATTCCGATTCTACGATACTCGTATCCGACACGGCGGCAACGCGACAAAAGCAAAAGCAACAGCAACATCAACAATTGCAATTACAAGCACAAGCGCTACACCAACAACAGAAAATGATTGGTGGTGGCCAACAAGGAAACTCCGAACAGCATAAACTAGTGATACAGGTGCGTGGCATCGATAATAGTAATAGTGCCTCAGCACGTATGGCCTACTCGGAAATGAAAGACTCTGAGGATGAACTGGCCACGTTGACGGAGGAGCCATTAAATAGCGCATTGGCGGCGGCGTGCGGTGATAGCGGCGGCACAGGACGTGACTCGTCGCCACCCGTTTCGGATGATGGCAGCGATGTGGAGTCGCTACATTCCTACCATTACTCACCAAAGGCCGTGGATATGCCATCGGCAATACGGCTGGCCAAAAGACTGTACTCACTGGATGGTTTCAAGAAGAGCGACGTGTCGCGTCATCTCAGTAAAAAGTGAGTAATGGCTTAATTGTACATACATGTATGACATATAAATTGAAAATTTTATTATAATTATAGCAACGACTTCAGCCGCGCTGTTGCCGATGAATACCTAAAGTATTTTAATTTCGAAAAGAAAACGCTTGATCAATCGTTGCGTGAATTTCTGCAACAATTCTCGCTGTCGGGGGAGACGCAGGAGCGCGAACGTGTGCTGGTGCATTTTTCTAAACGCTTTTTAGACTGTAACCCAGGCACGTTCAATTCACAAGGTGGGTCTTATTTATGTTTTATTGTTGCTTTTGTTGTAGCTACTTGTTTGCATTGGTTATTTGTTAGAAGTTGCAATTAGTTGTCTGCAAAATCGGTTCAAAAGGCAGATTATTATTATTACAATTTTGTATATTATTGATGCTTAATTTAATTATTATTAATTTTACTTATTTCCGTCTTTCTATTTTTGAATAGACGCCGTACACACTTTAACTTGCGCCATTATGCTGCTAAACACCGATCTGCATGGCCAGAATATCGGACGGAAGATGACTTGCGCGGAGTTCATTGAAAATCTAGCCGAACTTAACGATGGTGAAAACTTCCCCAAAGATGTCTTGAAGTATTTATATCAGGCCATTAAATCGCAACCGCTGGAGTGGGCGCTGTAAAAACACTATAACTTATATTAATTATATATATATTAATATATTATTATCTAATTTGAATTAGGGATGACGACGCTACTGAATTGCAAAAGCAACGCGGAGACAATAATGTCGGCAATAGCACAAGCAACAGCCTTATCGGTCAAAATCCCTTTTTAGACATACCGGAATCGTCGACGGCGATTGAATACAAGAAGGGCTATGTGATGCGCAAATGCTGTTACGATGCCAACTACAAGAAAAGTGAGTTTTAAGCTTAAATAAATAAATATATATATTTAATCATTCTTATTTACATTAGCGCCATTCGGTAAACGTTCCTGGAAAATGTTTTACTGCACGCTGCGTGACCTAGTACTCTTTCTGCATAAGGACGAGCATGGCTTCCGTAAGAGTCAGGTGAGCAGTTGTTAATTTAAACATTGTACCTTTAGGCTTTTCATGAAATATCTGCCTTTTTTGTTTTGTAGATGTCCGATAATCTGCACAACGCGATACGCATCCATCATGCGCTAGCCACAAAGGCTATCGATTATACGAAAAAGCAGCATGTTTTCCGTTTGCAAACCGCCGATCAGTCAGAGTATTTATTTCAGACCAGTGATTCCAAAGAGCTACAATCGTGGGTGGAAACGATAAATTTCGTTTGTGCCGCATACTCAGCGCCACCGCTGGAGGGTGGTGTGGGCAGCCAGAAACGTTTTCAGCGTCCACTCCTGCCTAGCACGCATACAAAATATTTGATGGTATGTTAATATTTGAAAAATGCCTATATGCCTCGCCGATATATTAAATGACTAAAATGTTTTGTTTTTGTCCCCCCACATCCCTTGTAGAAAGAGCAATTGGAATCGCATGAGCAGCAATTAGCGCAATTGGAGGCAGCACTAGCTGAACATAAAAAGGGACCTGTACCGAACAAAGGACTGCCACTACAGAACTACAAAGAAAAAGAGAGTTACTTGCAATATGAGGTAAAACGAAGCGAATTGAACTTTTAATTTTGTATTCAAAACATTTTAAACATGCATAAAACTTTTTCTGCCGACAGCTACGCCGCTATCGCGCTTATGTGTCAATTTTAGCAGCTAAACTGCTTTCCGATCAACAGCAATTGGATGCTGCACAGCAACAACAATTAACGAACAACGAAGAATTAGATACATTCGCAACGAGTGGAGTTGGAGGCGTCGGAGGAGCTGTGATTGGTGCGCGGCAGCAACAGCCGCCACCAGCGTATCCGCAACAACTACAATTACAACAACCAACCGCACAGTCACCAACAGCACAACAACAACAAACACAGCCGCAACAACAGCAAACTACTAACAGGTATAATTATCAACAACAAGATATTGGCTGACGGGTAATGGGAGTTTTCTCAGCTTGTGTGGTTTAATTGTATTTTTCCTCTACCTCTATATTATGTACTAATTTTCCTAATTTGGGTTAATTCTGTTGGGAAAATGGTATTATTTGAACTTTTTGTTTTTGGTACATTTAAGTTTTAGTTGAGTAAAATTGAGTTTTGAAATTTGCCTTTATTTTGCTATAAAGAGCAGGTATTTTTTAAGTGTTTACAATTTTTAAATTTACAAATATATATAAATATGCTTTAATATATGTACATCAAAAGTACTAGTTTTTTATGCAGCTGATATAACTAATGCGATACACATATCTATATTAAATCTAATTTGTACATAAACTTGTACTCTTATCCCTAAAATGACTGCAATGTTGTAGTGAATTTGAGACGAACTGAAGAAGTGTTTATTTATTTATTTTTTTCTATTTTATTCTTTTTTTTTTGAAACGTTGTCTGGTCTGGTCTGGCACGCCAATCCAGAAAGGTTTTTTTTTTCGTAACATCTTCTTGTTTTCCAAAAGTAATTAGTTCACGTAATTTCTAAAACTTAAACAACAATTTCGAAAAAGAGGTAACTTGTGACTGTTACAGGAAGATCAAGAAGTATATAATTTTATATACAATATCGATTCCGACTGTATCTTGTCTTGTTTTAGATTTTGGCAATCATAAAACATAACCTAGTTAGTCTAGTTAAGATTTGAAAGCGAAATCCAAATCTAATTTTTCCAAAACTTTTTATTAGATACTATTTTTTAGAACTTATTATGCAATTCTAAAAACCAAAATAGATAAAAAGTTTAAATTAAAATCAAAAACCAAAAAATCTTAAATTAAATAACACAGCCTGCAAATGTTTTGCCATTTAGTTAGCTCAGTTATATTATAAAATATTTTGTTTTGTAATATTTTATGTAGATGATCGCTTTTCTGACTTTACCTGTGCTCCTTAACGTTATTGGTTCAACCAAAGTATTCTATTGTTGTTGCTTTTGTATTATCCACTTCTACTTAATTGAAACGAAACCGTTAAATGTATTTAAAGTTTTATTTACATTTATTATTTATAAAATTTAATGCTTTTCTGCTTCAATTGCCTGCCTGTATATATTTTGTAAATAACAGTTATGTATGATGTATTGCTTAGCGCTTCTGCTAAGAAACAATCGTGGTTGATTCGCAAAGAAATTATTGGAAATATTCAGAAACGCGAAAACGTTAATGCATATAAATTATATAAAAAATAGTTATTAAGTTGAACTGTGTTGAAATTCATAAAGTCTTCATTAATTTAAATTTGATAGTCTTATGCTAAATTGTATTTATATTTATCAAAAGACTTTAATTATGCTTATATAACTTCAACTGATACATTTTCGAAAAATAAATTTGAACCACAAAAACTGTGAAAACTCGCAATTGGCGAAAAGTTTGCTGAAACTTATGAAGAAATGAGGTTAAAAATTTTGAAATGACACCAAAGTCAAAGCAAATTCTATGAAGCTAAATTTAAGTGAATTAAGCTAAAGCAAAAATTAAAAGCCACAAATAAAATTTAAAAATAACAACAAAAACTTGCAATAGTTGCAAATAGATTAGATTTAGCAAAGTTTATAAAACAAAAACGAAAAACCAATTGTTCAATTCAACACGCAGAGAGAAGCACAAGACAAGAAAAATATAATTAAATTCAAATATTTGTAGTATTTAGTGCAGTAAAAAGTAGTATATAGAATGTTTCGATTTTACTTGTTTTAGTGTTAGCAGTTCACCAATATCACAATTATACAAGCATTCATTCATGCATACATACATATTAAACAATAGAAACAAAGGTTCAACAGTAAAAAATAATATAACAAAAATTATATATCGATGAAATGAAAGATATAATAATTTATAATTCAAAAGATGTACGCACATTTAACTTAAATTAGAATGGTGTCGCCGCATAATCATGTAGAAGTAGAAAAAAATACACAGCAAAATACACAATTAATTGACGTTAAACGTCACAAATAAAGTAAAATAAATAATTCAAATTCATGCGCCTTTAGTTTGCATTGAGGGTTACTTTTTTAAAAGTAATCGTTAAAGAGCAAATGCAAAGTTCGGCGCGCAAAAAGTAATATTAAAGTGATTAGACAAAAAAGTAAATGCTTTGACAAAATTTAAATGCAACAAAGATTTACATAGAATATCTTCAAAGCATGCAATTACAGATGGCGAAACTAAAAGAAACAACATAAAAAACAAACTCAAGCAGTTTAATATAGACGAATGGACTTTCATAATTGTATTGTTCTACTTATTTATAAATATTTTAACTGTTTTATTAAATTATCTATAAATATTTGTATTTTAGCATTTTGTTGATTTAATAGTAAAAAATATGTACATATGTTTGTTATATGTATATAACTCAGAAAAATCTTGACTACCTTGTGATCAAATTTTCATTTCCTTAGTCGTTTAGAAAACAACCTCAAAATTGCAAAACTAACCCTTTATTCCATTTACAAACACATTTTCGTTGCAGTCATATATATTATTTAATTAAGTTATAAATTTGACATTAGCAGAGTAGTTTTGTAGACTGGCTAGTGATGCAAACGCGTGCCTACTTTTGGAATTTTTTTTTTTAAATTTAATAGTAAAGCTGCGTCTACTGGTTTTGATGAAAATAACGATGATATGGTACTGTCCATGGCGGCTTTATGTATGGATTATTCCAACAAATCTTAGTAGGAAAACTATTGGTGAAATTTCAAATTTAACCCTACATGAGACTATGCTGCTTCTGCTCGTTGCAAGCTTAGATTTATACTGTAGAGTATATAATCAAATCAATCAAATTTCACTCGATAAATCATGGTGTATATTATGTAGTATTGCGGTATGTGAAATGAAGATGTTCAAAGTGGTTTGAAGCAAATATTTTCGAAACACGCAGGTTCATAACATCAGTAAAATCCTTCGTTATTTCATTTGTTATATGTATGCAATTATATAATAATTTGTCCTTTCGCATTTAATTTGATTGCGGCAATACTTATTAAGGGGGAAGTAGGACTAATTCGTGTAAAACATTTATGTTTTTTTTCTGATAACAGTTGAAATCTATTTTTAAAAACCAAAAGTACATTATAGTATGACATTTGAAGAATATGCTGTTAAATTTTCATGTTATTGAAACATTAAGAAATTTGAAAGAGACTCGACCTCGTAAATTATGTAAAGAAATAGTGTTAAAATTTTCAAAACGCTCGGTGCAGTAGTCTTGAAATTACGAGGGGCACCGACTTCGAAAAAGTGAATTGTGGTAAAAATACGCGTTTAAGTTTTGAAATCTGATGTAAAACGTTCATAAGATATAAAAATACAAATAACTGCGTTAATTTTTCTAGGATCGACCTGTTATTTAGACACAATATTCTCGGGATATTATGCATTAAGTTAATTATTTCGAAAACTGATTAAAAACCCCTACTACCCCCCTTAAAAGGTTTTTGTTTATTAATTTTATGTTTTTCAACTAAAACTCTGCAATAAGCTGTGCTTCAGTTGTGCTCACTTTTGTTTTATATGTTTTTACGCTATGGCTGCCTCATAACTGGCTAATGCATAAATTATATTTTTGTATTCCGTTCAAATATTTTTAATTCCGTTTTCTGAATTCGTTAACTTAAGTTCTTTGCTCCTCTTTATTCCTTACATGTTAGTTGTTGCATTTACTCAAACCATGTAAATACAAGACAACAAATGTTTCATTGTACAACATATATACAATACATGCAATGCATATGTGTGTTAATACATTCGTGTACTTTTAACATATGTACAAAATTTTGCGACAAATTAACAATTCAAAGCAATTAAAAAACATTTAATGCAATTTATGTCCAAAAAAAAATTGGTTATCACCAGCGAATTGTCTTCTTTTTTTTCTTTCTCTCTCTCTCTCTCTCTCTCCTTTTTCTCCCCTAACATTGAATTGCAGATGGCTATGTGGCTGCGGCTGGTGGTCGTTGCTGTTTTGCTAAAACCCAAACCAACCAATATTGAGAAGAAAGTATCCTTAATACATTTACAACAAAACATAGACTGTAATCCCCTCTCTACAAAACGCTAACACTTCCTCCACAATTACAAACTCCACGACCACCAACAATACCGGCACCAAAATCCTCCAAACCAGAATCAACACCTCAACCTAATCCTCCTGTGTCCTCAAAAAGTGTGCGCGTAAGGCAATGCGAAAATACATACATACTCCTTATTCAGTAATAATGGTCACGCATATTCGTTCTAAAAATTTTTTATTTAAAAAATACAAAAAAAAAAGAGATGTTGCTTATGTTTTATTGCAAATACTATATACGCACTGCGGTGTTGAAGCGCACATTGATGAAGTAAATGCTACAGTGCAGGTAAAAAAATTTAACAAAAGTTTGAAAAAAATTGCCTTCTTGTTTCTTAATTATTTTTTATACTCGCTGTGCTACTCAACGTTGTTATGCTTTATGAATTTTTTTGATCAACATTTTTTAAGTTGCTAGACATTTAGAATTAGTTGTTCACCCTTTTACCAATACACATATAAGCCAAATTATATAAGCACAAATATATAAAATCTAAAAATTAGGTATACTAATGATTAAAATTTATTATTTTAATTTTATTTTTTATATTTTCAACACCTTTGCTTTCATGTCTAGCATTTAAGTTACACGTTTCTTTGCGACAACAGTTTTTTTTTTTATTTTTTAGAGCAGTAAAACTATTTCAATCATTATTATTTTTTTTTTGTTTTTTGGTAATATTTGAAATACTTGATATATATTTTAAGACATAAGTTTGGTTGAAGACTAACTTATAATTAATTTTAATTTTCATAACGTTTGTCATAAATTTTTACGTTTACAAAGAAACGTGCTTGGTATAAAAATATTTAACTTTCTACTTAAAACAATTAGATGTTTTTAACTCTTGTTACTCTACTCACCAGAATTTTTATTAAGCATCTAAAATATGTATTTTAAAAAAATTTCAAGTGTTGGCTGGCTCAACAACAGTCATGTCTAAAATATTTACTGATTATTTATATAGTAAACTAGGCGCCCTCCGCTGCGGTCCGGGACGCTCGCTTCGCTCGCTCGCCTACGTCCGCCCCCCGCCGAGCGCGAGCTAGCTCGCTCTTATGTTAGTTGATTCTCGACAGCAGCAGAAAACTTTTATATATAATAGAGAGATGTTTAATGAACATATTTCGAAGTTATACCAGTTTCTTGTGTTCTTTAGGCAATCGAGATTATTATAAAATTCAAAAGGTAAAAATAAGCTATATGAACATTAGTCAATTACAAACCATGTGACATGTGTGACGCTAAAAATGTAAAACGTAGTTCTTCAGTCTCGTTTATTCTTTACTCTTGTAGCTATTTGTCTTCTCCCGCTCCCTTTTGCTTAAAAAAAAGTTAACAGTATTTTATTAGTTACAAATAGTACTTGCCTTTGGTTGTAAATCTATTTTATTGATATTTTTTTTTTTATTATATCTATTAATATTTACATATAAACATAATACATTTAATTATTATTTTTTAACAATTTTTTTCCTTGGTGTTTTCCATACATTTATACAATTACAGAAAGAAAGAGAAGAAGAAATGAAGGACATGCAAAATTTAGCAACTCGAACAAATAAAGGTATTGTACAGGAATGAATTTACAAAATACAAACACATACAAAACACGAAGCACGACATTCAATGAGGATGAGTTAAAGAAAACCAAAACAAAAACGAAAGCAAAAAATGAGAATAATTTCTTAAAAGCTAAAACCATTATCGCATATAAAATTCAATCAAATTGAATTGCGAGTTCATTAGTATGTAAAAGATGTTGTGTGGAAGAAGAATATCATTCAAGAAAAGTGTAAAAAACTAATTGGTAAGTGAAAAGTGTAGAAAAAATAACAAAAAACCTATATATGTATGTGTTTATATAAATCGCGTTTAATGCATACTTTGAGGAGCGTTAGTTAAAATGAAGTGAAAAACTTCTATTTTAAAGTGGAGTAGTAGGGGGGTAAGCGCACTTATATCTTTATTGCTGCTTTGTTGTTAAAAAAAATCAAGAGCTTATAAGAACTAAATGACTTACTTTAGGAGAGCTAAAGGCGACGGAGCTAAAATGTAGCACTAGCAGTCGGCCCTAGGTTGGCAATTACAACTCGCAGTATGTTTTAAACACGAAAATGCTTGTTATAAAATAACAATCGGAAATATATTGAAAACCACTTCAACTCCAATACAATCGACCTAAACTTCAAATGTTGTGTATAGCTTGTAGTTTTAGCCAACAGTCTTAGCATAATTTTCGTAAACTTTGTTTTTTTTTTGGTTATAACATCATAAAATAGGTGTAGTGATAGTGAGCCTACACTATTATTTGAGTGTCTTTAGCTGCGTATGGAAAGCTACAACCTTTTTAAAACCATATCTTTTAACATTGAGTTATGCATTAAACTTTGTTTCGAGTTCATATTTTTTATTGTATTGTTTTTAAAACCAATTTCTAATCGATTTTTTGATATATATTATTTCAGCTGATTTTTTATTTCCACTTCCTTCGCATTCAAACGCACACCATCACATAGTACCCGTACCCACACTTGCACTCGTACATGCATCTGCAACAATGTCCTGAAAATATTTCTTCAAGCCTTTTTGTCCACCAGGAAAAAAGGCAAAAGCATCGTCGTTTTGCGAAAAGACATGAATACATACTAATAAATGCTAAAGTTAGAATGCCACGGTTCAATAGCTTGTGTGTATGATCGTGTTTACAGTATCTGCCAATAGTTGTGAAACGAACAAATTTTGACACTTGGTTGTCCTCTACGTCGTCGTCGTCGTTCATATGATATGCATGCATACAAACATACATAACAAATACTATTACTATTAATTTATATTTACAATATATGTATTTACTTATAATATCTATGTATAGAAATTGATGCTGCTAATTATTAAAAGAAGAAGAAGAATGGCGAAAAAGTAATTATAATTATTAATTACAATTATTACTGGCATTGTGAATTTAATTACACAAACATACGTTTACGAATATGCTAGAAGGGAAAGAGATGTGAAATGAAAAGATGTGCGAAACAAACAAGAAAATAACACAAAAAGCAAAATTACGCTAATTGTCGTATTTATATTATGTAATATTATATACATATTTACGCTATTTTAGATTTATTTATACATACAAACATTATATATACATACATATACATAACTACTTTCGAAAAGGCAAAAAACAAAAATCGCTAAGAGTTGAACATATAAAAAACAATTATCTTTAAAAGAATATCATTATGAATGATAGAAAACGCATTAAAAATTAAGCGATCAATTGGAGGAGTTTCGAAAAAAATTACATTTATTTATTTTTGTGTTTATGTAACAATAAAGAATTAGCATAGGCAGTAGCGGCAAGACGAATTTGCAGAAAAAAATAAATAAATAGCAGAAGTTTTCGATAATCTCAGCCACGGCGGGCATAACATAAATATATTTACTACAAAAACAAAACAAAAAACTGCATCTACATATATGTGAAGCACACCTTAAATATTATTTATACAACTGTAGTCTACTTTTAGGCGCTTACTACTTGCATTTCAAATGTTGTCCAGTTTTACCAGCGCACTTAACTGAGATTTGATTTCATATTGATTAGCAAAACTCAAATCATATTGCTGAAGTGAATTAAGTAAATATTTCGAGAATCCCAACGTTCTCTTCAATTTGTTTCTATTAAATAATGCATAATGCATAAAAAAAACTTTTGGTATACACGAAAAATATGCATTCATAATTTAATAAATTCTTGCTTCCAATTTTTGATTTTGAATATTTTTTAATTCGTTAAAAAATAATAATATTGAAATATTAATTTTATATTGAATGGAAGAGAATATGTACATTTCTACATATGTATGAATGTTTTGAGTACATATGTACAATGCATAAATTACTCTAATGTATTAAAAAAATAACGCTAATTCCACCAACTGAATTCCTTAATTAACTTTTTGTATTAATTTTGCTTTGTTTAAACAATATTTGACTTTGTATATGAAACACGAAACACTCGTTCGTTCGCCGTAAACTTTTCAGTTATGTTACCGTTTTCTTTTTTTATGTTTACGAAGTTAATGCCAACTGCATTGTTCGTTCAGTTAATCGCTTAATTTCCTTAATTTATTGTATTATTCATAATTTGTAAACTTATATTTTATATAAATATTATATGCAGATAATAAAAATACATTTAAACATACACATATATATGTCCACGTCTGTAGTTAGGATATTAAAATTGAAGTAAAGTAAACTTAAAGCGCTAAACGAAAATTTAAAATAAATAAAATAACAATTCAAAAGAAGAAAAAAAGCCTTTAACTTATAACGGTTTACCATTTACAATATTTCGTAACTTTTTAGGTTCGCAATGTTTGCAATTCTCGAATTGGATAATTTTCAAATACTCCGATTTTATTCGAGGCCTTTTTAAAGTTTTTAAATGTTGGATTAGGTGCACTTTGGTGCAAAAGTTCAAGGCAAATTAAACTTTGTTATCTTTAAGTGTTCTGAGAGTTTATTTCTAGTAATAAAGGTAATTTTTTGGATTAAAGCTTGAATTCATTTGTTCTATTCGAAAATAATAATATTACTTGAGTTTTTAGTGTGGGAGGGATTAGTATTAGGAGATGTGATAAAGGCCTGAAAATATCTGCTTTCATTCGAACAAAGCCATTGTTGCGCACTATTAGTCCTAACGTACCGTTTTTGTTCATGCTCACAGCTTTTAATTACATTATAAATGTGCTCCAATCCCATATGGAAAATCCACTGCTTATCGAGTTGTACCAATCGACAAGTGTGCCACAAAATCTCCTTACTTTTTAAATGTCATAAAATTTTTGATAAATTTTGTTAATTTATTAAAAGTCGAGTGTTTTATTTTGCGGTTACTAAAATGTTTTAAATTATTTTTAATCAAGCTACAAATGAACTGAACTTTTAATTACATTAAAATCACAGTTAGCACCTTATTTTACATTCAATTGAATATTTAAAAACAATTACATTTAGATTGATTTTCCATAAATTATTTCGAGTTATATGTTAGACATTGATTTTCGATACTGCCAGTAATTCCAACAACTTATCGCTATATTTGATATGATTTGCCTTATAATATGAAAAAAAAATAATATACGAATTTCTGAGGTGAAACTGATGAAAAGGAATGATATACAAAATAAATGTTACACTGAAAAAATAAACATGGATATTCATAAATGCTTTAATATTTAAGCAATTCATTAAAGACAGAATTGTATAATACATCAAAGTGTTATATAACAAAGAAAATAAATGAGCGAAATAGAAACTTTGAAATAAAAACTTCCAAAATTAATAAATATATATTTATTCATTTAACTTTTCAATTTCTATGTACAATTTAAGTATTGTAGGTAGCGTGCCTATCGAGGAGTTGCCGCACACAATTTACTCGAATCCCTGTGCTCTTTCTATCGCACGCACCTCATCGTTTGAATTCATATTTGAAAACCCGCATGGTTGCATTGTCATACCCGCCGTTCCAGAGCTTATGCTGCGCAAAACGCTGGAATAGCCGGACAACTCAGCCAGTGGCGCATTCACATATATAACCTGTATTGAAAAATCTCCAAGTTAATGTTCAAATTGAATAAGCTTTGATTTCGTAAGTAATCGTTGCGTATGCTCACCTTATTATGCGCACTTTTCGGCCGCACGTCGTTTATTGTGGCACGACGACGTGACAAGTCGGCTATAATTGCTGATATGCGTTCGGACGGTGCCACAATTTCCAACGCCATAACTGGTTCGAGCAAACGTGTACCTACTGTGGTTAATATCTAGAAACAAAATTTTTAACGATATTGTAATATTATGCGTGAGAAACAATATACCACATTCTTTACCTTTTGTACGCATTGCGCAGCGGCAGCCATAACAAAAGAATCAGCTGTACCACGCCCTATTGTTATACTATGCAGACGAATTTTTGTATCTACGACCTGACCACCAACACGTGGGCCACGTTCTAAAGCCGACAACGCACCCTTACGTATCACTTGTAGCATGCGGGGACGTAGTGTATTTAAATTTGCTGCATTCTCACCGGATTTATCTAAACTGCAGTATACAAGATTCGTGAAATTTTTCTTTTAACTATTATTTGTAGAAAAAATAGGTACACCTGCCTGAACGGTTCATTTTGTTCGCGCAACAGTTCTAAAGTGATGTTTACGCTCTGTTTACTCCCCGCTATTTCTTTCTCTACTTGAAAATTATCCAGCGCTGGCTCTTCTATCGTTTCTTTGTAGGCTATTTGCAGAGGACCTAAATCTACATCGATTTTGTATTCGGTGAGTATACGAGATTTCACAATATCCATGTGCAGCTCGCCCATACCTTGAGAGAAGATAAGAAAATTGTAAAAGTGAAACGGGTTTTTTAATATCTTAAAATTCTTACCACCCAACACAGTTTGTCCGGTTACAGAGTCATAATTTACACGCAAACTAGGATCTTCACGTTGCAATTGCTTTAACGCCGCCTCCATGGCGTTCTGCGTCGCCAAACTAGGTGGCTCGATAGAGCAAAAATATACAGCATCCGGAATTTGAGGATCAGTGTTGAATATCTCATTGACAAGCGTCGCATGGCCGTTATCTTCGGCATTACCATCTTCAATCATCACGTCGCTTTCAGGTAGTTTCATTGTTTTCTGCAAACGTTTTTGCGCATTTTTCAACGATGAAGCATTAGTTGTGAGCAAATCGCCGGTAACTGTGTGCTGAAGTAGATTTGTTTTGCTTTATTATTTTTGAAAAAAAAATCCACAAAAAAATAAAATTTACCTTCAAGCCCGCACAAATGGCAACATCCCCAGCTGGCACACCGCTAATTTCACGATACTCATCCGCCAATGGTTCATACACTTTGCTCACCACTTCTGCAGTATTATGTGTGGTCACTAACCGTGAGCCCTTCTTCAATTCACCACGGAAGACACGCACCAATGTTAGCGCACCGCGTTGTTTATCGTGTATGATTTTGAAAACTTTGCCCACAAAGTCATCACTAGTTTTAAAAAGTGTTTATTTTAGTTATTTGGCAAAAATTAAGAGTTTCTATAAATCTTATTGAGATTCAAATTTTATTACCAAAAACAATCGTAAAGCTGATTTCGCTCATGTGGCGCTGGCAAAAAGTCAATGATTGCATCCATTACCCGCTGTACGCCCACATTTTTGTACGCTGAACCCAAAAGTACTGGTACCACTTTACGTTGCGCAACCGCACGTCGTAAAGCTTGTTGTATCAATTCATTGCTGACTTTATCAAAGCCCTCATTGCTAATAACGACCTGTGCTAACTCATCATCGATACCGGAAAGCTCATCAATTAACGCATTACGTTTGTCTTGTAAGTCTGCGATGTGCTTATCTAGAAGCGGAAGTGTTTTGTACTCACGACCCAAACTAGCATTATCCCAAATCAGCACTTGTTGCGTAATCACATCGAAAATAGCTGAAACAATTTAAAATATATATCTATATGGTATATATATGTAGTTATAATCAGTTTGTAAATAGTTAAACAAATAGGAGGGACATACTTAAATTTCCCTTTTCATCCTTTAGCGGTGATTGTAAACAAACTGGCTTTGCATCCAACTTTGTCGATAAATCGTTCACACAGGCGGTGAAATCTGCATCAGGACGATCCATTTTATTCATGAATACTATTTTCGGCAGATGATGTTTCTCAGCTTGTGCCCACACAGTAATTGTTTGCGCTTCTACTCCAGACGTGCCATCTAAAACCACAACAACACCATCTACAGCATGCAATGATTGTTCCACCTCCATGGTAAAGTCTATGTGACCTGGTGTGTCTAGTAGATTTATTCTACAATGCAAGCAAATAAATCGTCTTCTCTTATTTTGAACTATTCTCTATACGTACTTGTGACCCTGCCAGTTAAAAGCTACCGCAGAACTGCATATCGTTATGCCACGCTCACGTTCCTGTGTCAGGCAATCTGTCACCGTATTACCACGATGCACCTCGCCCAATGTACGTGTCTTGCCGGCATAAAAGAGCATGCGCTCCGTTGTAGTTGTTTTGCCTAAGTATCGTGTTAATAGTTTTAAATCATTATATGTTTGTTAAAACAATTATTTCTCACCTGCATCGATATGCGCCAAAATACCAATGTTTCGCAATTTTGCACTACTGTAAAATCGCTGCCATCGAGCGTGGACGCTAATGCTTTGCAGTAACCGAAAACTGCGGGCTATTGTCATTTATTAATGTGTTATTAATTAATTTTTTAATTTATAAAAGCCTTAATAATTAATTTACTTTTGCGTGGTTACACATAACAAATATGACACAATGGGTTATCAGCTGTTACTTCTACCCAGCGAATTCATCTGCGGTGTGTTCGAATTAAAAAAGTAAATAACAAAAACAAGTGCTACGCGCAAATTCAAGGCGAATTCATTTATGAGATATGTAAACTCGCTTTGTATAAATTGGTAAGTGAATTTTGTTGACAGAAAACATTCAAATAGCAATTAGGCAATTGTTTTGAAAAAAAAGTAACGGAAAATACTAGTCTTAATCTTGTCTTATATAATTTTTGCTTTATCTATGATTTTTGCTTAACCCTTAAATTTTGAGCTATCTTAAAACTTTTTAAATTTTATCAGTGGTTTCAAAACTGTTAATACCGAAACAGACTTCACTTTATCTGTGCAGATTCGTAATAGTGTAGCAGCTGTTTATAAGTGTTCGCTCCAAATTTTGAAGTGACCGGTTGTGAAGAAAATTGAAAAATCACAAACGTGATTTTTTGAAAAAATTAGTTATTTTTACTTCAAATAAATAATTTACATAATCACTTTTAGAATAATTCGTGGTGTATAAAAATTGCCTTTATCTTGTTATAACGATATCTGTGTATTATTTCCATACCGCAAATTTCAAAAAAATGGCTGGGCGCCCAAAACGTAAAGCAGCAATTAAGGCTGCTCAAATAATAGAAATATCTGATTCCGATGATGATGTACAAATCACAACGAGGAGGGGACGTGACAGCTCATTTTCTCCACCACCGACAAAGTCTGCACGTATAGATGCCGCAGCACGTTCATTAACTGGAAGAGAAGTCGCTACCACAAGTACAGCTGGAAGGTTTATATTTACAAAACAGTTCTATTTAGTTATTATAATAAGTCTGAGGAGATTATTTTATTTATAGAAAACGTTGGCCCACTGAAAAAAGTAAAGATAAAGTGTCACAAGCAACAGAGAAAGGCGCCAAAAAGGACAGCAAAACAACCTCAAAATCTAAGGATAATAATAACAAAAACAGTTCAACAAATGAACCTGAAAATGTAGAAGTAATGCAGCAAGGAAATAAAGATCAGCAAATGGATTTGGAAGTTGAAGATCAGCAAGATCAAGATCCTGTAGAAACTGTAACCGACGGCCAATGTTGCTCGAGTGCAGATAAGAACAAACTGGCACGCGATTCTACCACTCATACAGGTCGCAGCTCATTTTGGGGTGTGTATGAAAAATATTAATGTATTTGTTATATTAAGTTTTTAAAAGTGAATTACTTTCAGCACGTCGAAAAGTGTGGCGCGTCGACGAACTGCTCGCAGAAAAAGAGAATGTTGAACCCTGCACTGCTAAAAATATCGTACAATTGCTGGAGAATGAGAACACAATACCATTCATTTGTCGCTATCGCCGGGATTTAATTAACCATATTACGCCTGAAAGACTGCGTGATATAAAAAATTCATATACGGAAATTGTAGAGTTGCGCAAACGTGCTGAAACGATTGTTATACAGTTAGAGAAGGAGCAACAAATAGGCGATGAAGTACGTACAGAGATTTTATGCGCAAAAAGTAATGAAGAATTGGAATTTTTGGTAAGCACAATGGATCTTTAGTTGTTTTGTAGATTTACTCTATAGTATTTTTAGTATGCACCATACAAACCAGCAAGCAAAGGCTCACTAGCCGAACGTGCTAAAGCACTAGGTTTGGGTGACGCTGCGGATCGCTTATTGTTCGGTGAAGCGCCAGAAGTGCGTTTGGAATCGCTTGTAAATCGTAATAATGCAGACCTGGATAATGTAGAGAAAGTACTACAAGGTATTTGTCACATCATTTCGCACAATATCAGCAAGCATACAGGTGTTTTGGAAGAGTTGCGACGGCTGTAAGTAAAAACAAGAAAACGTTAACCTCGGTTGCACCAAAGCTATAATACCCTTCACACATAAAAAAATCCGTACAAGAACTTGATTTGCCAGGTTGTACGGCAGCTGTATGCTTTTCGTAGATTGTACCGTTGTCTTTGATAATAATTTATGTCAAACTGCGTTATGATATATTGTCAAATAAAAAGGTTTTGCATGCAAAATTTTGCATTTGATCGGTCAATTGTATGGCAGCTATATGCTGTAGTGGCCCGATCTGAACATTATCTTTCGGACAATAATCCGTGCAAAATTTTGTGAAGATATCTTGATAGTTTTCCATAACAGCATGTTTTTGATAGTTCAGTTCGTATGGTTACAATATACTATAATGATATCAAAAATTAAGGGACTAGTCCCGCGTATATACAGACAGACAGACGGACGTGACTAAAACGATTCAGCTCGTCGCGTTTATCAAAGGTCCAAAAACTGTCAAATGTTTTAATTACATATATGTATATCTGCCATTTTTTATTGTACAGCCAAAAAGTGCACCGCATAGTGCTTAAGTGTACCAAATCCAAAACGCCCGGCACATCAACCGCTACCAAATCGTCAACATCACTTAAAACAGCATTGAATAATAATAGCTCGGTGCATTCCAAGAATAAAACGGATGCATCAAAGTATGAGACATATTTTGACTTCCAACAAGATGTGCGTTATTTAAAACCACATCAGGTGCTCGCCATCAATCGTGCAGAAAAGCAAAAGTTTCTAACTGTAAAGATAGTCACTGCTGATTATGTAAAAAATGATATCAAACGCTTCACGCGCGAGCTGTTTATGACTGATGGTCTGCGTTACCCACTGCGCAATCAGGTTTTCGAGCAGGCATTCGAGGAATGCTACAGTAAAAAATGTGAGTGTACCAATAGCGAATCATTAAAATATTTGTATGTAAACATGTTAATATATGTATAAACATTTTTTAATTGGCTCCAGTGCAACCGCTTCTATCACGTCAGTTGCGCAGCGATCTGAATGAATCCGCCAAAAAAGCGGCTATCGATGTTTTTGCGCAAAACCTGAAACAATTATTGCTACAATCGCCACTTAAAGGTGAGCGCATTCTTGGCATTGATCCAGGTTTCACCAATGGCTGCAAATTGGCGTTAATCTCCGAGACAGCAGATGTTTTGGAAACTGGTGTAATATACCCACATGCTCGTAGCAGTAATGCTGAAGAAGTAGGCGAGAAATTAGCCAAATTGCTAGCTAGACACAAGTGAGTAACAGTAAAAACGTCGAATAATTAAAACAAATAAATAAAATTTGCATATTTAATAAACTCATTTCAAATTTCTAAATCTCAAATTTCAAAGTTGCAAAATAATCGCTTTGGGCAACGGCACGGCCTGTCGTGAAACAGAATTTTGGCTTTCCAATCTATTCGGTTTAGGCATTTTAGATAAAAATAATGTGCGGTATAGTATTGTTTCCGAGCAAGGCGCTTCAATATATTCATGTAGCAATGTAGCCCGCCAAGAGTTTCCCGACATGGATATGAATGAGATCAGTGCTGGTAATTATTAAAAATTAAAAGTATATAATATATATATATATATATAAAAATAATATAAAATTTATTTTTTACTTTCTCGTCTGCAGTCTCCATTGCACGTCGCTTAAATGATCCGTTGAGTGAATATGTGAAAATAGAGCCACGACATATTGGTGTTGGCATGTACCAGCACGATGTGCCGGAAAAAACGCTAAACGAAGCGCTGAATGAGGTGGTCTCTGAGTGTGTAAGTTTTGTGGGCGTGGATATCAACACAGCCAGTTTAAGTGTGTTAAAGTGAGTAGAATAATTTTTACCATAATTTCTTACAATATTATAATCATGCCTTATGTTGTTTTAGGCATGTAGCTGGCTTGAGTGAAAAGAAAGCACAAAAAATCATAGAGCATCGTTCAAGTAACGGTCCATTTCAAACACGCAAGGATCTGTTGAAAGTAAAGTCCATTGGTGAGAAGACATTTGTACAATGTGCTGGGTGAGCAATGCATTTCAGTTATATAACATAAATAGTATTCTAAAAAAGCATATGCAATTTAATCGGAGCTTGTTGTTGTAAAGTTCGTTTGTGGTAAATAATTTCGTATTATCTAAGTGAAAATGGCATATTTTCGCATCACACGTCAACATATTATCTGTTCTCATTTCAGTTTTATACGCATCGAACCTTTGAGTGTGGGTGGAAAAATTGAAAATCTGCTGGACTGCACTTGGGTGCATCCAGAGAGTTATGCTGTTGCCAATAAGTAAATTATTTCTATTATTATAACTTTGTGTTGTACACTTGTTTAAGAGTGCGATTATCTTTTGAATATCCAAATATACAATTATGATTTTTTTTTTTAAATTTTTATTTCACAGAGTTATAAGCAAATGTAATTTGTTACTCAAAGACATCGGGAGTACACCGTTTATCTGTAAAATTAAAGCTTACGCCTTACAATGCGATATGGAAGAGCTAGCAGATAATTTTCAAATACCAAAAGAGCGTGTGAGTTAAATTTCCATTAAAAAAAATATACCAACTCTAATACGAGTATATATATTCTATAATTTTATTAAAAAATTTTAATATTTAAATTTCAGATCGATGTGGTGTTAATGGCCTTACAACGCAAGCTCACACAAGACTATCGTGCAGAATTCGCCAAACGTCCGCTTTTCAAGCAAGGTTTAGCACGTATAACTGAACTCAGTGAGGGTGATGTTCTGACGGGTAATTATTTGCTAATTATTAATTTCTTCTTAAATTCATAGATGTATAATATATAATATTTTCAAATATTAATGTATCGCTAACTTAATATTCAGGTGCCGTCTCAAACATCACACACTTTGGCGCTTTTGTTGATATTGGCGTTGAATGTAATGCTCTTATTCATATAAGTAAAATGAAAAATAGGGAGCTAAGTGTAGGCGATCGTGTAACTGTTTCGATTATACAAATTGATATACCGCGCAAACGCATTGGTGTACGTCTGGAGGATACGATAAAGGAGACCGACACTTCATTTACTTTGACCTAATTAGATTAAAGCTTAGCGAACACTTGGTTATTAGAATATAAATGTTTTTATATTACATACGTATTTTTCTTTACGTATACATATGTTTATTTTTCTACATTGTTAATACATTAAGTGTAAAATATTCACTCATAACATACATATGGAAATTATAGAAAATAATATATAATTTCAAACATAAGCCATAGAGTCCATTAGAGTCATAATTCATTAAAATAGCCTGATATTTTTAGTGTATCACTGTTTTAAGAGTAAATTTAAGAATATTTTATTTCTATAACAACCACTAAGCATTCGTGTTTTGCAAGCTAAAGACATCAACTTATAATCAAGTGAACTATTAAAAAAATTGTAAATCACACCGGCTGGTTAAAATATTCATACATTCATTCCGATGCTTGGAGAAAGCTTCTCAGCAAGTTACGGATTGAAGAGGAGAGGAAAGAAGAGAGGAAAGGCACATACCATCACACTAGAGTTACCTAATCAGTTTTTTATTCTCTAAAACCGAAATTTGATATTGAAATGTTACGTTCACACACGTCCTTTTGGTCCAAAGAAACTGCTCATTTGTCGCAACCGCCGATATCGGACCACTGCCATACAAACTGACCGATCAAAATCAAGTTTTTGTATGAAAAACTTTTTTATTTGACAAGATATCTTCACGGATTTTGGCATAGATTTTTGTACAAGACATATTGTTCAGATCGAACCACTATAACAAATAGTGGTTGTTAACTGACCGATTAAAATCAAGGTAAATATCTTTTTATGCCCTATTATGCTATAAGAAATGCACGTGTGAAGGGGATTATAGCTTCGCTGCTTTCTTGTTATCGAATAACAGGTGTGTAGTTCTTATACGTAAAAGGATCTCATCAATATTATAATATAGATTCTAAAAAACTCAAGATTTCTTTAAGATTCTTCGCCTAGCCTTGTCTATAATAAACTACCTGTCGTCGTACCTCAGATAATTTTGAGGATTGCTGTGGGAAGGATATCCGTGTCCATGCCAATTACGTAGACTTGTCGTCGAACCAGATTGAAAACTCACAAGCATTGTTAAACTTTTATACTTACACAACAACAATGTATAGTCAAACTAAAAAGCCAATTTTAATAGAACAAGTTTAATCCCTTCTATGTATGACAATTTTCTGCATGTCCTATGAAAGGCATTAACTAGTTGAACTGAGACAACAGTTGAATGTCAGTTGTGCATCCTCAAATTATAAATTAAATAAATTATACGTTAATAAAAAGCCATTCGTAAAAATAACAATGATGAACACTGTAAGGAATAAATAATGAAAAACACTGTAATAAAATACAATCGAAAATGAGCAAACATAGTAGTTTGTTCAAAATCAATTAGTGAAAACAATTCTTGGAAAATATAGGAAACTCGGGCGAAAGCAGTTTTCAAATTAGATTTTCGTTCAAAAAAACTCATTGCAACTAATAAATTTCAAGTTTTACAACAATTAATTGATACCATTGTTAATTAATAAAACGTATAACAACAAAAACGACAATAATAACAACGATTACACGAATATCAAAACAGAGCAAGAAGCTGTTATATGTTTTGTGTGCAAAAGCTTGCAGTACCGTTACTAACCATTGCCATTTAACAGCAGCTAGAACAAGCCTATAAAAAAAAATAACTTATACCGAAAAACCAAAAATAACAACAAGCAACTACCAATTAAATCAATCTAAAACCACAAACTAAACAAACAAACTCACAAGCAAAAAGAAAACAAAAAGAAAACCAAGGATAAAAAACTTTCGTTTGAAAACCGGCAAACAAATTAGCAAAGGAGTTACCAACCAGACGTTAAGCGTATTGCCGCGGCATTGGTCTCGAGCATTTTATAGACCTTAATAGAAATATTAAGCTTTCTAAAATAGCAAGAGCCAACTCCATATATACATATATTAGTCAAGCGAAATGGCATTTTCAACTCAAAAAGAATTTTTCCATGTCCCCTTTATGAACGAGACGGTCGACTATGAGTGCCGCAAGGCTTGTGTCAAGCTGAAGACCTATCAGTCGACCATCGATCACCGCTCGTGGGCCATGGATGAGTCGTTGCAATCGAGGTTTCTTTCAGATTTGATCACCTGCCAAACGCCGGTAGGTCAAATCTTGAGATCAACTAAATTATTGCAAAGTAATATTAGGCCGCCGAATTCCCCAATAGCGATACAATTTCGTAAATATTTTTATGTTGATGTAATAGCTATATTTTTAATGAATTTAATTGATAGAGCGCCTAAATAGTTCTTAAACATCACTTAAATATATTTGTCCTTTGTGATATTTGTTCAAAAATTGAGTATTATTTATAAAATACAAAATTAGAAGATGAAAGTCGCCAGAAATTCAGTTTGTGCCAGAAAGGCACTGACTAATGCAAAGCGTTTTTGGGGAATTCACATGTTGTTTCTTGTGCTTGGAAAGTTTTTAAGTTCGCATCAATTAAAATCGGTTTTTTTTTTTGTTTTTTTTAGGTTGGTGGCTTCGGTGATGGTGATGGTGACGATGAGTATGATTATGCTTTTGATGGAGATGAAACAGGTGCAGCTGGACGTACTCATGGGCATAATATTGGCGCTATACGTGGTGGTGGTCGGACAGGTGGACGCCCTAACAGCGGTTATGTCGGCGAACCGGGTACGAGAGGTGATGAGGGAGCGGGACCTAGTGGGCGTGGTCGGATGGGTGGCACCGGGGGTGGTGGCCCTAGAGGGGGTGGTCCTGGAGGCGGTGGTCCTGGAGGTGGTGGTCCTAGCGGTGGAAGTCCCGGTGGTGGTGGCCTAGGTGGAGGCGGGCCCGGTAGTGGATTTCCGGGAAGCGCCGATGGGAGACGAGGTAAGCTGGATCAAAGTGGTCTCATTTCTGCTGATAGCGTAATTGCTTGTGCCAATGAACAAATGGGAAGAATGCAGGAATTGTTACTGCACAAAAAGAATCTCGAAAAACAATTGGAAGTATCGAATGAACGCTTAAAAGTATCTAACATGGAAAATGATAAGATCAAAGCCATTATGAATAACAAATTCGATAGCAGTCATTCGAAAGATTTCTATAACAAAATACAGAAGCTTACATCAAGCGGCAAAATCAGTAAAGGCGAGGAAAATGAACTTTTACAGATTTACAATAAATTCGAAGATATGAGCAAGGCATATGAAATATTACAAGCAGAAAATGCCTATCTAAAGCGATTAATGGAGAAACTGTCGTCAGGTGCATCCTTCGAAGCGCTCAAAGTAGAACCGGAGAAAAGTAACGATATTGCATACCTACAGAACGAGGTGAATAAGTTGCGTAAGGAGCTCTCCATATTGCGTAAGTTTGAACATGACAAACTGAAAGGCACCATGGATAGCAATCGGAATAAAATGTCCGATCAAGATGCTGAGACGCTCAAGGCGATTATGAAAGAGCGTAATGCTTTGCGTGAGAAATGCAAAACTTTCAAGGATCTTGAGACAAAGGTATATGAGCTGCAGAAGATGGCAAAAGAAGCCGATAAAATGTCCGATAGTCTATCGAACGATTTGGATAGTCAATCTAAACATATAAATGAAATGGAACATGAGATGAAGCAGATGCAAGACTACTACGAAGATCAAATAGACAAACATAAGTTTAATGAAGACATACTTAGGGTAAGTGTACACTAAATAGCTAATAAAGACTCTCTTTTCTAAGCATCAACTAGATTGTAAAAATTTAAATCTAGTATTTCGCAATAAAAAAAAAATATGAACGTTTAGAGAAAGCTGTTTTGTTAAAGGTCGGTTGCTAACAAAGCTTTTTCCCTTGTAAGGTTTTAGAAAAACTGAAAACAATTTTCAAAATATTTATATAAATATTGCTTAACAATTACCGATTATATTTTATGCTTCGCCGAAGGCTTACCATAACGTAAATTGCTCAAAATATTTAACAAACGAACGGAAAGATTGTTTTGTCCTATTTAATATTTGGTGCAGTCAGAAATTAGACCTATAATATTATCATATACTTTTTAGTACCTATCGAACAAGTTCTCATTTCTCTATTACAGTGTCAACTCAACGAAATGAAAGAAGATCTAATTCGTGCCTGTTGCAGCGCACAAAAAGCCGAATGCTTGCAAGTGGAGAACGTCACTTTGCGAAACGAGCTGATGCGCCGCGAGATGGCTCTGAATGATTACAACTGTCAGTACAACCAATTGATGGTAAGTTATCTAACGGTAAACGCTCATTTATGAATATGCAAAATTAAGTGAGCGTTGAAATTTATTTTCGTTTCTTTTCGATTTCATAGTACAAGGCCAAAAAGTTTAGAAACAGTGGCTATTGTATGTGCAATCGGAACCCAGATGCTGGCCATGATAATGAGAATTGTTTGTCGGATAACTGACTGCAATGCGAATTAGCCAACCAAATGCATATAAACATACATATGCACATATGTATGTATGTACATGCGAAAAATATGTATATACTCCTTCTATAAACAATTGTACGTTTATGCCCATATCTACTACTGCCTTAAAGGATACATATATATATAAATATTTTTTTTTTATTATTATTCACTGTATATTAATAATAAATTTTGTATAAGCTCTGTTTTTTTTCTTGTTTAAAATTTATGAAATTTTGTGAGTTGAATAAATCGATTGTTGAAAAATATAAACAAACTTGTTTGAACAAAACTCGTTCATTTACAGTTGTTGTAAAACGTTTTTAATTTCAAGCTCTTGAAAGCGCGGTTTACGCTTGATGCTTTTTCTAATCATTCATAAGAATATTTTAAATAAATTTCGTGCCTATGACGGGTATATGTAATAATGACAGCTGAAAAAACTAAGATCTTATAGGTTTCCAGTCACCTCATAACGGCTGAAGAAGTTTAGTGAAAGAGCTCATTTCGTCTATAACCCAAATGGAGTTTCGATATTGAGCTCTAAAGGTTTATAAGTTTCGTAGCTACAAAAATTATGAATTATATCTTCTTTTTAAATCGGGTTATCCGCTTAACATTAAGCGTTAGAAGTGTGAGGAGTCAACCAAAGGGGCACTAATGTGTCCCGTACCAAGAAATTTTTTATTTCGAGTGCTTAGTATTCATAAAAAAAAATGGCTCGTGTCACTTTCATGGCTGGCTCTGGAACGGAACTGAAATTCAGCCGCGTTAACATCACATTCATAGACCAACACCCTCCCTTCCCACCAAAAAAAGAAAAGAAAAATTGAAACATACGTATGCATGTATATATGTATGTATGCAAAGCTTTAATTGCGCTGGACTTGCTCGTATTTACAGCGGCAGTTTGTAGAAATGGGCTTGAAGGGCAAGTGCAGGAAAAGAGTTCGTTTTCGACAAGTTTGCTCTTCCTGCGTACGCATTGATCGACATACATGGCCAGCAGACTCGGATACAGAAACGGAAGTAATAGCTGATAAATATAAGAAGGAAAACGTATTATGTAAAACAAGTGCTATAGAAAATACCAAAACAAAAGTGAAGGACACTGATGACACGGATACAGAGTACTGAATGCATATAGAATGATACTGACTAATATTTGATTTTTTCCTTCGCGCTTTCCGCTGTGCGTTTGTCATGACCTAATGCACAGAGTGTCATTGATGAGCTCCAGAATAACGCCATACAAAATCTCCACGATACCCAAACACAAACCTGCACAGATTATATGGACGACTTGACCTTCTTTGCGCGCGCCACTTTGAACGAAATCAAGAAGGAGATAAAGAAACGTGGCGGAGATGGCGACAAAATCGGCGGTCCAGCTATTACCGATGGCCTTAGTCCCGATGAGTGTTGCGCTGAGTTGCAGCGGCTGCACGATATAGTCCAACAATTGACAAGACAAAATGAGTATTTGCAAAATAATGTGCAGAAAGCAGCGGAAGACTTTTGTGCAGATGCGTTTAAGAAACTGAGGGAAATGGAGGAGAAATACAAAAAAGCCCAAGATGATATTTCATATTTGAAGAAAGACAAGGATGCCCTAAATATGCATGCTATGGATAAACTGAATGAGTTCTCTGATCGTGTTGATAAAATGGGTACGGACGTGGGTAAGGCCGCTAAAGATACCGCTTATATTGATAGGGACTTGAAGGAATCTATGAAATTGGTGAAAGAGATAAGTGACATACAGTTGAAGAATGCGCAATTATCGAATGCTGTGAATGCGCTTAATACACGCGATGATCAGAGCATTATAGATGATTTACGTCGACAATTGCTCGAAGAACAAGCAAAAAATAAGAAGTGTCAGGAGGAGAATAAGAAGCTAAGAGAACTGCTTGAAAAACGAGGCATTGACCCAGATGTAGCAACTAAGGATATCATAAGAGAAGCGGCGGATGTACAGAAGGGTGGCCCTGCCGCCGTCCTAGACGTTCAAAAGAGTGGTCCTGCCATTAGTCCAGACGGTCAGAAAGGTACACCTGCTGGTGCGGGTCAAATAGCCGGGCCTGAAAAAGGTGGCCCATTTGTTGGCAAAGATGTTGGCCCAGAAGTTGGAAAAAAATCTGAGCCAAGCGACGGTGAAGTTGTTAGTGCTGAACTTGTAAAAAAAGCTGCTCCTGGGGATAGTGCAGTTGTTGGACCGGAAGCTGGTAAAAGAGCTGGTCCTGGCGCGGGTGAAGTGGGTGGTCCTGGTGCTGATAGAAGAGCCGGAATTGATGCGCCTGGAGTTGGAGGTCCAGATGCTGTCAAAGTACCTTCGGCTGGTGGTACCGTTGAACGTGGCGGGCCTGAAGCTACGCAACCGGTTGTACCTAGTGCCGTTGAAGGGCCAGCTGCGGCCAAAACAACTGGTCCTACTGCGGGTAGCCCTGCGGAGCGTGGTCCTGGAAGACCTGCTACTGGTGGGCAAACTTCAGGTGGTCCTGGTGCGGGTGGACCTTCTACTGGTGGGCCAGCTTCAGGTGGTCCTGGTGCTGGTGGTCCTGCTACGAGTGGGCCTTCTACTGGTGCAACAGGTACGGGTATCCCTGGTGTTGGTGGTCCAGCTGCAGGTGCTCCTGGTGCAGGTCCCGTTAAAGGTGGCCCGAATGTAGGGGGTCCTGATGCAGGTCCCACTACAGGTGGTCCAGCTACAGGTGCTCCTGGTACAGGTCCCGTTAAAGGTGGCCCGGCTGTAGGTGGTCCTGATACAGGTCCCACTACAGGTGGTCCAGCTACAGGTGCTCCTGGTACAGGTCCCGTTAAAGGTAGACCGGCTGTAGGTGGTCCTGATGCAGGGGCCACTACAGGTGGTCCAGCTGCAGGTGCTCCTGGTGCAAGTCCCGCTGAAGGTGGCCCGACTGTAGGTGCTCCTGGTGCAAGTCTAGCTAAAGGTGATCCAACTGCAGGTGGTTCTGCTGTACCCGGGCCAGATGCAGATCGTCCCGTTGTAGGTGGCCCTGCTGCGGGTGGACCCGCTGCGAGCGGTCCTGCTGGAGGTAGTCCTGGTGAAGTTGGTCCTGCTACGGGTGGACGAGCTGCAGGTGGCCCTGCTGGAGGCGGCCCGGCTGCGCGTGGTCCTGCTGCGGGTGGTCCTACTGCGACTGGACCTGCTGCGGGCGGTCCTGGTGCTGGTGGTCCTGCTGGAGGCGGTCCTGGTGTATTTAGCCCTGCTGCAAGTGTTCCCGGTGTAGGTGGCCCTACTGCAGGAGGTCCTGGAGTAGGTGCTTCTACTGCGGGTGGCCCCATTGGAGGTGGTCCTGCTGCAGGCGGTCCTGGAGCAGTTGGTCCTGCTACGGGTGGACCTGCTTTAGCTGGTCCTGCTACGGGTGGACCTGCTTTAGCTGGTCCTGCTGATGGAGGTCCTGGTGCAGTTGGTCCTGTTGGAGGTGGTCCTGGCGCAGTTGGAACTGCTGCTGGTGTTCCCGGTACTGATGGCCCTGCTGCCGGTGGTCCTGGTCTCGGTGCAACGGACGTTGACCGACCTGGTGCAGTTCGAAGAGGTCAACCGGGTATTAGTAATGCTGGTGGACCTGGAGGAGTTATTGTAGACAGTGGTCCTGGAGGCGCTGGTCAAATACGTAGCCCTGGAGAACCGGATCGAGGTGGTCCCGGTATAGCTATGATTGGCGGTGCAGGTCCCGTGGGGGATGGCGCAGCAATCGGAGGCGGAGAAAGTGATGGAAGAACTGGCATTAAACCTGGAAAGGGAGAAGGTATTGGAGGCGGCGTTTCTGGTAGAGGACCTGTTGGCCGAGGTGCACCGACTTCTGGTGGTGGCAAAAGTCGGAGAGGAAAAGGCACAGCTGCATCAGCAGATACAGATGCATTCCAACAATTTATCGACACTAATGCCAACACAATGATTTCGAATATAAAAGCGGGCAGTGCACTGGAAAAGGAATTACGTGCAATTCTCAATTCCTTCATGATGGAATGTGGTTTCTGCTTCTGCAAAAGTCTAGTGCCAAAAAGTAAATTTTACGCACTCTGCCACAAACTTCTACATAATGGTATACAGTGCATGTCCTTCCGCGAGTTGGCTTACATGCATAGAAAAATATTTATGGCCGCTGACAAGTTGCATCCAGGCTGTCTATTAAACATGATACTAACCGAACTGGGCTTCAAGGATGGCGAGGGTCTCAGGTGTTGCCATTGCAAAAATGCTCTCTGTTGCAGCAACTCCGAGGAAATGCTCAAAGAAAAGGGTGAGTAATGAATGTTTGAATGTTTTTTAGTGTTGTTGTACTCGACGATATTTTACAACAAATTTGCATTTACTGTAGTGAGCAAGTTGGAGCGTGATATTGAAATGGCAAAAGAATATTTGGACAGTTTGAAAGCGCAACCGAAAACGCCGAAAAATCCATATACCTCAACTGGAAAGACATACCGAAACATGGACGATAGCTATTCAGAAGCCGTAGAAGAGTATGGATATTTTATGATATTGTAAAAGTATGTATAATCATTTTTTGCTAGGCTTCTAACATGTCGTGAAACAAGACCAGCTTTGTCCAGAACACACAGCAAACAAATGAAGACACTTAAGGTGGGCAATTTATCTAATTTTAGTGTCATCTCATCTCTTGTATTCAAAACGTTTGTTCTGTGATGTTTTCTCTATTGCAGGCGCGCATAATGAAATGCTCCGAAATGCTGCGGTGATTATTATAAGTAAACGATATTACGGACAATTACTTTGTTGTGAGCGAGCGTATAATTTGAAAACATCCAAACATACTTTGCTGCAATGATATCTATTTTTTAGTTTATATTTATATTTATCGCACCGATAACGGTTTGATTTACGTTTATTTTTTTTTTTTTTGCATTTCGTGCCGAGTGGCATTTTTACCAAGAACAATTTTTGTGAATGAAAACAAATTTGTTCTAAAAGAGGTCTGCATAGCCTTCGTATAAAAAAATTATTTTATTAATTCACCAACTGAGTGCATCTTTGGAGAATTAATATAATATTTTTACAAAAGTTCGCAATGCTTGGGACTTATATGGACTCGATCAATGAATGACCGCCACATCCACGGATATGTATATATAGTTTAGAGGGTTTTGCGAAAAAAAAATAAAAAATTGAAATAAACAAATATATTTTAATGAAATCGTGATAATTAGTTTAAATTTATAGCCGCAATTCCAGTACATTGAAAGAATTAGCGAGGAAACCGTGAAACTCAAAAATCCTTTTTGTAATAAAAGGAACGATCGCACTTATATAAGAGTTTGTGTTAGAATTTCCAATTGGGCCTTGAAGAAGCTTATAGGACGTAAACAGAAATCTCTGGAACGCCTTTGGGTAATTAACCAGTGATTTAAACGATAGGCAGTTTGCAGCTCGCGCTCTGAACAGAAAACGAATCTACCGTAATAATTTAGCTCGGACATGAACCATATTGAATTTGACACTTAAGTTCTATGGCAACGCTTAACTCGTCACCCAATTGGCAGTTTTTAATTTTTTTCTTTTGGAATTGTTAAATTCATTTTCCAGCTGTCTTCGTGGGTGTAGTTTGACTAGAGTTTGGAAAAGGCGAAATAATTATTTTGATCGTAGCGCGTAGTTGTGTGTGCCGTGTAAACATTAAGAAGAAAAGGGTGTACTGGCTAAGAATTTGTACGCGAAACGCAGCGGTGCCAGACGTGCGGTTCAATTTGTTTATAATAAAACATTTTAAGAAGGAATTTCATTTGCATTGTATTCTTAGTAGTGTATTGTTGACGCAAAAAGCAGATTGTATGTACCTTGGTGGCTTAGTGGCTAGCTGATTACTCGTTGGATTGTACAGACGTCGGTAACAAAATATACAAAACAAAAAATTCTACAGGGTGTGGTTGTTGTGCAGTGGTCGATTATTCAAAAGATGAAATGAAATTGATTAAAAAATGTGTTGTATATATATGGTGACTTATGGCGAAGTTCTCTTAAGGGTAACGCAACCATTGCGTTGGTGAATGGCAAAATGTATACGCAAACTACATATTACAAATTAATTTATGCGAAACGCGAACGAAATTCAGAAATTTATGCAAATTTAATGATACACAGCTCTTAATGTTGCTGACAGTGACGGTGAGGTGTAAATCAGTCATTGACTTATTTGAATTTGGAAAGGGTTGCTTGGCGATACCGGAACGAGTGTGTACATGTTACATTCATAATAAAAATATAAATAAAAACTAAAACAAATGCAATCAAGTATTTAGCTGTGTCAAAAAATTGTGAGGAAGGACCAATATAAAATTAGTGACGTTGACAATCACGACGTCGACGCCAACGTCGTCGTCTGCGCCGCTTTAAGACTGTTGCTCTTTGCAAAGTGCAGGTGTACACAGCGCCAATAGCGGACGTTGGTGGATGACCGGCTGAAATGAGAAAAAACAAAACACCGCTGCAACAATAACAATATCGACATGTCGCGGCTTGCTGATTATTTCGTTATTGTTGGCTATGATAACGATAAAGAACGTGAGTAATATGTCATGGGGGATATCGCATACGTCGATACTTGCTTTATACACATGTGTACAGACATACATAAGTATTTGCATATAATAAGAATAAAAAGTATATACAAATTTCTTTACTGATTTCGAGTTAGTTAATTTTATTATCTAGTAATGATTCAAGTTTCTTATCCAGAGTTTTTTATTTGCGACTTAAAAATAAATTTCAGTGCCCATAATCGATTTACAATTTGTGGTTGATAAATTCTAGGGACTGCTGCTGGTAACATACACATGTCATGTGGCAAGATTGTGCAGCGCTTTCCAGAAAAGGACTGGCCGGACACTCCATTTATCGAGGGCATAGAGTGGGTATGTTTATAAAGGAATACGTTAACACATTGAAATAAGTTATTTTTATGTATATTATATTTATGAGTGCACAATAACATAAGCAATTATTACGAATTTGAATAAAGCCGGTGTGCTAATTAATAATTGCATTGTTTTTTTTTTAAATAAAAATTCCGTTTAGACACGTATGTAAATAGAAAGATACAGTTTATAAGAGAATTATAACATACAAATATAATATGTCACACATACATATGTATGCACATTCATATTTTCTGATTGTACTATTATGTAAAAGATCCAAAATAGAAAGTACTACACAAATTTGATTGCGATATGTTTGTTTTGTATTTACATTGTATTAAAGTTTTGTCAACCACTTGGCTGGGGTTTGTCGTACGATAAGCAAGAACCAAAATTTTTCACTTCCGTACTTACTGATATCGATGCAAATAAGCATTACTGTGCCTGTCTTAGTTTCCATGAAACATTGGCCATCACACTTAATAAAGTCATTGATGAGGAAGATGAGGCGACTGCTACAGTCAGCGGCATTGGTGTCGCCAAATTCCAGCCGGCGATCACAGGCAGCACTAATGGCGGTGGAAGTGGTAATAATAGCATAATATCTCATCACAGCGTTATGTATGCTCCCAAATGTCTAGTGCTAATATCACGGCTCGATTATGGAGATACATTCAAGGTAATCCTAATTAGAAATATTTCATTATTATTATCAGTAAACATATTTTGTTATATAAACAAGCTGAACTAAATCTAATTTATTGTTTACAGAACTGTCTAGGCACTATTTACACAGTATACATTGAGAATCTGCCCTACGCATTAGAAAATCTCATTGGCAATATACTTGGCTGTATACAGGTGCCACCACCAGGGGGTCCGCAAGTACGCTTCTCCATAGGAGCAGGCGATAAGCAATCGCTACAGCCGCCTCAGTCGCCATCGTTACCAGTGACGGGCACAGCTGTTTACTTTGTTTTTAAGCAATTAGGTATGCAGCTATTCAAATATATATTAAAAAGTGCTTGCTTTTATGCTAAATTTTATAACTTGTATTATTAATTAATTTTTTCCATATATAACGCATTTCAATGCAATCCATCGAAAAATCTGATATTTACACCACTTAACCACAACATCGACGGCTTTAATGTATGCATTCACTGGTGTCTGGTATCTGTTCTGGTAAAATATATCATATGGCGTTTAGGTATTAAAAATGTACTTATACTGCTGTGTGCGGTTATGACGGAGAATAAAATTCTATTCCATTCGAAAAGCTATTCACATTTGACTGAAAGCTGTAAAGCTCTAGTTTCATTGATGTATCCATTCAGGTAAAAAACGCAATTATTGGCACTTTTACACAAATGCCAGATTTATATGGTGTTATTATGTAGAATATTGTTGGAAATATAATATAAATATATATAAAAAAAAAACATTCTTTTAAAACACTAATTCGACTTAAGTAATTTAAATATTTGCAATTTATCATACTACGTAGACAATATGCTTTAATATCCATAACTGTCAACATTTTCTTCAATATAGATATACGCACGTGTACATTCCGATATTGCCAGCACCGTTAACAGAAGTTCTCTCCACACCCACCCCCTTTATAATGGGCATACACAGTTCATTAGTGAGCGAGATCACCGATCTGTTGGATGTTATCGTCGTAGACCTAGACGGTGGCATGGTGACGATACCAGAATCGCTGTCACCACCAGTGCCCATATTGCCATCACCACTGTGGGAACAGACGCAAGAGCTGCTTACAATGATTCTATTTCCGCATCTTTCGCAGGCTGATTTAGCATTTCCATCCCTCGAAAAACCAACTAATTATCCGAAATCGGATGCAATAATAGATAAGGAGCTGCGTGCTATTTTCATGCGTCTCTTTGCGCAACTGCTGCAAGGGTAAAAAATAGAACATGTATAAATACTAAAAAATGTAAATCTAATATTTTTATTGTTGTTTTTTCTACAGTTACCGGTCATGCCTAACGATTATACGCATACATCCCAAACCGGTGATAACTTTTCACAAGGCCGGCTTTTTGGGTGCACGTGATCTCATAGAAAGTGAATTTTTATTTCGAGTTTTGGACAGCATGTTCTTCACCACCTTCGTGAATGAGCGCGGACCACCGTGGCGTTCCGCCGATGCTTGGGATGAATTATACAGCTCTATGAATGAGATTCTGAAGAGTGAGACGCAAAATAAGAGTTTAGTAAGTTGCCTCTAAACGTAAATTCCAACAACTTTGATTTATTTTTGTACAACTCACCAATATTATAAAACAAACGTTGTTTTTAAACGGGGGAATTTTTGAAAAATATTATTTTGCAAAGCAAGATTTCATAATTTCATATAATAATCTTAATGCTTAATAATATATTCTTCCAGATTCCAATACACATACAAGAATTGGGAAAAACACTTTACGAAAATGAGTGTCCAAGTCAACAGGTTTACGCACAGAAAGTACTTCGCCCACCGGATGGCTCTTTCCATCGCATACACCAGCCAGCATTTCCACGTATTAACAGCGAAAAAGTGGAGCTGATTATAAACGATGGCATGCGCAAGAATTGCATTTCGCATCGTTTAACGGTGTTGCGCAATCAAATGCGCATCATACCGATGGGTCCACGCTTACCCGAGGTGCTAGATGTGCGCCCAGCCGTCTTAAATTCAGCACGCCGACTCGAGGTATTTGCACTTAACATAAGTTGTATATTAAAAAAAATATACTTGTATATCATTTTATTTTATTCGAAGGTGCTCAAAACTTGTGTCGCTTATATTTTCGAGAATAAAATCGCCGATGCGCGTAAACTTGTGCCGGCTGTGATGCGCACACTCAAACACCGCGATGCACGTCTAATACTCTGTCGTGAACTATTCGGCTATGTGCATGGCAATAAAGCGATACTCGACCATCAACAGTTCGACTTGGTGATAAAGTGAGTTGCTAACGAAATATGATTGAAATTTATAAGTGTAATATATATATATATATGTATACACCTAATCGTTTTTACAAGGTCGGTTTTGATTTAACACGGTTTGAAAATAAAACAAATTTTAATTTTTTACACGATTATTCACTTTTTTAGAACACTTTGCAGGAAAAGATGCGATTTCTTGCGAAAAAATTAAAAATATTAACGAAAAAAAAGGGTTTTTAGCGTTACCTCCTAAATTATTTATAAAAAATTTCAAAACGATTGAGGCATCGACTTTGAAAACATGAGTTGTGAGGAA